TGAATGAATGATGAATGAATGATGAATGAATGATGAATGAATGATGAATGAATGATGAATGAATGATGAATGAATGATGAATGAATGATGAATGAATGATGAATGAATGATGAATGAACGATGAATGAATGATGAATGATGAATGAATGCTGAATCAATGAACGAATGATGAATGAATGATGAATGATGAATGATGAATGATGAATGATGAATGATGTATGAATAAAGATGACTTAAGAAAGATGAAAGAGTGATGAATGAGAAATTAAAGAGAGAAGAATGAATGATGAATGAATGATGATGATAATGACTCCAAACTATATACAACAAAATCAAAAACCAATTATTCAAGAAAAATATAGGTATATATGCATTTATTAAATACATGTATGTTTTATGGGGGGGTTTGAGTTATTATCCGATGGTTTGACGTGTAGCACTGCGATCCACATAGATCTATTGTGCTCGTCCTTTTTTAAAGTTCGCTATCTAGACCCGTCAGGGACAAGAATTGAAGGATACATGCATAACATAGAGGTTTATTTAATCTTTACCGTACAATAAAACTTAAAAGACGAATTTAATGCCATATGGCATTCTCTACCAGTTAACCTTTGGTTTTATGCCTATCTATGATTGTTTTTTTTATTTTTGAGACCTATTTTTTAAATGTATTTTGTTAAGATTATGTACATAACAATATTTTAAATAATTAAAATAGTAATTATAATTATATACATCTTATTATTATACCCTACCTATTTACCTATTAAACAATTCCAACCTCAAGCAAATAACATAAATAGGCAATAATAATATTTTTTAAATAGTTTTATATTAGATATATTCTATATTTATATATTTCTGTATTTCAGTAATTGTACATACAAGCTCAATTGAAATGAATACATGCTGAGTTTCTTGTCAGTTCTTCTTAGCTAGAAAGCACTCCTAACTGACGGTAGACTTGACATATCATAAGTCTGCATGAGACTTACATGAATAAAGATATTTTAATTCGATTTGGGTAGTTGTATCGCACTTGAAGCGGAAATCATTATGACGAACGATAATATAATTAGTACTAATATAGATATTATTTACCATATTATTATTTATAATATATATAATAAGAATTGTTATCCAGGATATATATTAATATTCAAGTTGTACAAGACATAAAACCACTTTCATATTTTCAATATGTAATGCGTGGCATTTATTTGTTTTATGAATAAAATTATTATTAAGAGTCTATCATGGTATGGACATGTAATGCGTAGGAACGAGGATAATATTTTAAGAAAGGTGTTACATATGAATGTGGATGGTTATAAGGGCAGAGGAAGGCCGAAAAAGAGATGGATGGACTGTGTGAAAGATGATATGGTAAGAAAGGAAGTAAATAACGCGATGACTGCGAACAGGGATGAATGGAAGCGAAAAACATATTACGCCGACCCCAAATAAATGGGATAAGGAAGAAGCAGAGGATGATGATGAACAAAATTATTATTACTGAAATGTGAAAGCACCATAATGCGACTTTATTTATCTTCACAATTGATCTATGATTTATACAATATAAATCAATGTACTAACTCAATAAACTAATAATTATTATGGGGAAAGAATTGTTAAGAATAGCGAATACAAAAATGTACGGTATGAGGTAGCTACCTGAATTAGACGATACTAATATCATCTATTTCTAGATACTATTTTTATAAAAATAATTAAACGCAAGAATGGATAAAAATGTCCTATATGAATAAATGATTTTAACTTTGATTTTCAATAGAGACTTTATTGTTAGCAATAAAGTTTACTGACATCCAGGCATTCTCGCCTGGAGAACATCGTGGTGAAATCGCCACAACGAGCTAATTGGTTAATTAGCTCATTGTATCGATTTTACCACCTATTCAACAGTTTACGGTTACAGCGCTGTTACTCAGTCTATGTCATAAGTGACCACACGGACGGTAAAAGATTATAAACTTAGTAGAAAAAAACTCTAACAGTTAACAATAATTGCACTAAAATGCATGACGCGAACATTGTGATATGTATCCCATCAAAAACATAAATGTGAAATGATAGCCGAGTTTAATATTATGATATATGCCTTGATTGTTGACTATACTACGATTAACCAGAGATGAGAGATCGTACCATCTGTTTTTTAAGTATTTGTAATGCAAACCAGTATAATAACCTTTAATCATCATCATCATCAATATCAATATTCATTCTTCATTTTTATTCTCATTCTTCATTCTTCATTCTCCATTATTCATTCTTCGTTTTCAGTCATTTTTTATTCTCATTCATCATTCAACCTTCCTTCATCATTCATTCTTCAGTCATCATTCAGTCATCATTCATCATTCATTCTTTATTCATCATTCATTCATCATTCATTCATCATTCATTCAATGAATGAATGAATGAATGATTAATGAATGATGAATGAATGATGAATGAATGATTAATGAATGATGAATGATTAATGAATGATGAATGAATGATGAATGAATGATGAATGAATGATGAATGAATGATGAATGAATGATGAATGAATGATGAATGAATGATGAATGAATGATGAATGAATGATGTATGAATGATGAATGAATGATGAATGAATGATGAATGAATGATGAATGAATGAATGATGAATGAATGATGAATGAATGATGAATGATGAATGAATGATGAATGATGAATGAATGATGAATGAATGATGAATGAATGATGAATGAATGATGAATGAATGATGAATGAATGATGAATGAATGATGAATGAATGATGAATGATGAATGATGAATGATGAATGATGAATGAATGATGAATGAATGATGAATGATGAATGAATGATGAATGAATGATGAATGAATGATGAATGAAAGATGAATGAATGATGAATGAATGAATGATGATGAATGAATGAAGAATGAATGATGAATGAATGATGAATGAATGATGAATGAATGATGAATGAATGATGAATGAATGATGAATGATGAATGAATGATGAATGATGAATGAACGATGAATGATGAATGAACGATGAATGATGAATGAACGATGAATGATGAATGAACGATGAATGATGAATGAATGATGAAAGAATGATGAATGAATAATGAATGAATGATGAATGAATGATGATTGAATGATGAATGAATGATGAATGAATGATGAATGAATGATGAATGAATGATGAATGAATGATGAATGAATGATGAATGAATGATGAATGAATGATGAATGAATGATGAATGAATGATGAATGAATGATGAATGAATGCTGAATGAATGCTGAATGAATTATGAATGAATGATGAATGAACGATGAATAACATAGGCTCCTCTAAATTAAATATAGGATAGGAGCCTATGTTGAGAAGAGGACTGTCAAAACTAAGGCCTTGTGATTTGTGGATAGCATATGTTAAGCAAATACGGAATTGTTCTCTGTCAACATATACATTATTTAATATCTGAAACTTGGTATTGACACGTTATAGTTCGTAAGGACGATTATGTAATAAATTGACTGTTATCTACTGAATTCTCAAGAAAACAATTTGTTACCAATGAGTTCTCATTCTCGAGTTAACTATACATCCCTACTTATAACTATACTAAAATTATTATTAATTTTTGGTTTAAACTATTGTCTATACCATACGTATTTACTAAAATAATGTAATAATAATATAACCACAAATATATAAGTATAATTTAAGAAAACTATGAATTTCGTAGCATGAAACGCAACCTTATAGGTTAGATATCGAGAAACAAAACATTGAGACATATGAGGGCGGTTGCCATTCGCTCCGACAGGTTCTCGTCAACGTTTTATCGCACCGCGGCGCCCTATAACGAAATGCCTATTATTGAATAATTATTTATAAAAACAATGATCTTACACTATCGATGTGCGCTAAATATTGAAACAATAATTAATACCAAATCTCAGTTAATAACATAATAAATACGAAATTCGACTATACTCCTAGTTATAAGTACGAGTAAATTTTAGACAGAATCTTAATTATAGCAACTAGTGTTTACCGCTCAATGCAATATTTGAAGTTTGCTAGTTATCGACACTGATGTAAAGGGGTCAACGTAAATCGGTAATGTTCGACGTTTTCATACAATATTACTTTCCGTCCAGTACAAGATGAGCTATTTTGCCAGGGATCAATGTCAATTGGTGGTTATCGACGTTTTCATAGAATTTTAGTATTCGTCCAGTATAAGTTGAAATAAAATCAATTAAAGTGAAAAATTATAGTAAAATGATAACAATTTACCAGTTTCAGATTTTTTCCTTTATATTCACCTAATTACCTATCTGCATGCCAAATTTGAACTTCCTATGTCATCTGGAAGTGGGTTATAATTTTGATCTATAGTTGATCAGTGATAAAAATGACGATTTTTGGACATTAATATCTAAATAACCGTTTGAGATATGTTTATGAAATTTGGAATACATATTTATCTCGCAAGTCTCAATATATGAACCAAATTTGACAGGTTTATGTAAAAGAGTTTTTGAGTTATGAGGGGGTCAAAAGTGGCTCCAAATGGTTCGTGTAAATATACACACGGTGCTGCTCGCCAGTTTACTTGAAACTCGGCTTGACACGCTACCGCGTGTCTAGATTTTGTTAACAAAGGATAATATTTATTCACCAAACTATATTATTATATTGTATATGTACAATATTAATATACATATATCTTATATTATGTATATCAACGAGCTTTTTTGTTTCTGAAGGTTTTGGAAGCAATCAATAAAGTTTGTTTGTTTGGTAAATACTCGTGTGTTGTTTTAACAACTGACCATCACCGTTAGTGCTTATTAATGGCTCTATATCGGTGGGTATCGTGCGTCTAATGGTTTATTCCTAATTACATTTATTAGAATTATATTTATTATTAATTTTCAGATAAATACTATAATATTTTTGAAATGGAAGGAATTCGTATACTACGGAACTATATGAAGAATTTTATAACTAACCAAGCGCAAGGTTAGTATGAAATATTGAACATAAAATGAACATTTTCTGCTCTGCTTTTGGGGACTTGGTATATTTTCAAATTTTAATTAATTTCTCAAAATGTTACTATATACATATATATGGTTAACTTACTCGTTCCCAGTTAATTGTAATCTTGCTCATTCTTCGCATAATTCATGCGAGATAGTGAGTTTATTAGTGTATGCATTTGTGGGCATACATACAAACTCTAATATGTGCATGAATATTTATGTGTAGACATCAAGTGTTTTTTATATCAAGCGACTACAGTAAATGGAGAATCTATGTGGCGCTATTAATATTTTTTTAATGAAATACTAAGTGGCATGGCATACCTTTGTTATTGTCGTTGTTTTCTTTATACTTGTATATTATCTATATGTTAATTAATATTTAACAAAACATTCAGTCCGGCTAGAGTTGACCTTTAGCCGCTCCATAAGTCCATACGCGGGTTTGGAGTGCCACCTGCACTCGCCCCCTATCGTCTTGAAGCTGAAAAGGCCAGCTGCGGCCAACAGTATTAGTGTAGTCCGAAAAAAATCATCCCATTTCTTTTTTGTTTTAAGTGATACTTTATAAGAGAAACAATTTTATTATATTTAAAAAAGACAAATATTCACAGCTTTCAACAACGCGACAACGTGCAACGGCGAATTGCACCTTGTGTAAACGCCCCCTAAAGTTTAAAGTTGATTAATCATAATACACTTCTTACAGATACAGCAACTCAACCGGAATGTATAGTGTCAGATGCCACTGCACTAGTGTTATGCGTATCACGTATAGCTGGTATTGCGCCCCTTCGGTTCAGGCGACACCGTGATGGTTGGCTCATCAGTGTATCGCCGTTCGCTTTCGTGTATAGCATTATAATAACTTCAATAATAGGTAAGAGGCATTCATAAATAACGTCAAATATTTTTGTTAAACTATAACAACTATTTATTATTGATTACCCTTAAATACCCATAAAAATCAGATGGGCCGTCAGATTTTTTGCAAATCCAATTCTGTACAGAGATAAAATTTTAATAAACAAATTACTCCAAAATTTCAAAAAAATATTGTATCAAACTGTATGTACTGATTTGTACGAATGTACTGTTTTAAATTAAAAAAGTTTTATTCAACTCTATAAATAATAATTATAATAAATAAATAACGGAGCTTTGGAAAAACGAATAATTATGATAAAATTCCTCAATTATTTCTAATGTTCAAAATAATCTCTAGTAAGCATGGGTATAGCTGGACTGATTCTTGATCTGGAGGTGGATCCATCTCGGTCGCTGCGTGCGCGTAGTCCCACCAGACGCATGCTGTGGATCGCAGATTTTACCGTCGTTATATTGACGATGCTGGTCGGCGTCATCGGCGGGCCCCTCCGGATGAACGATATGATACGATACTTAAACCAAACAAACAAGGTACCACATAAATATTGCATAGCAAAATCCTATTAGTCAATAGGGTTTATTTATATGTGCAAAATTTACTTGTTTTGCTATTATTTTATTTAGTTATTTGGTCATGGAAACTGATCCTTTTTTTTTGAGCCAAAACTAATTGACTATCTGAGCGAAGAAACTCTATTACAGTGCTAAATAATATTATTATTATTATGGAAAGAATGACAAAAGACAATGACAATTGCATAAAATATTTCTCTATGTAACATAATATATTAAAAAACATAACATACAAAAACGTCGTCCACAGATTGCTATCAAAGCAGTCTGTGTTTTTCTTGTAGTTTGAATATGATAGAAATTACTTCTACAACTTTCTTTAAGAGTCATTGGTTTATGTTGTTATTGGACTTGATTTCATTGTGATGATAGTAGGCAAAAGTTTCTGTGCTCGACAGCAGGATGATGTTTTTTTGATCATAAATAAATCCGTTCGATTTATGAATTTGTATGTACCTAATTGATTTCCACTAATGGTAAAATTCTAATTTCTTTAATACTGTCAGCTAAAGGAAAGCTTTAGCTTTTGTCGTCTTAATTGTGTTAAAAAACATCAGTATAAACTATCAGTAGTACTTCATTTAAGCGTAATTGAGTAAACATCATTCGAAACTGTTCAAAAACGAATAAAAATTGTGATATTTTAAATTACAGATAAAAATGAGTATAGATAACATACAACCCGTGATTTTGAAAAGGAGGAAACATGTTATTCTGACTTTGCTATCAATTATTGCCTTCGGATTGATCCTCATTGGAGAGTATTATATGGCATACAACCTGGCAATACAGTTTGGTACGGATTGTAAGTTTTCAATTTACTCCTATTTAGTTACTAAACCAGTTAGTATATTTAACATTTTATCTATTTGAGTATTTAATTGATTAATGCTAGTTGCTAGTTTGTATTCACGCATGTCAGCTTAAAAATTTAAAGTAACAACAAAATTATTTAAAAGAGCAATACGCAAGTTTCTTTCTTATTCTTCTTGTGATGAGACAGATTTCCGAATAAGCAGTAGATTGAAAAAAAATGTGATGACTATTTAAAAGTGCTTCAATTTAAGTTTATTTGGATTCTCTAGTCCATGCTATTCTATTCTATTTAAAATCCAATTACATCATCTACATCATCTTCTTCCTTATTCCATTCATTTGGTATCAGTGTAATATGATTCATTCTCATTCTCAATATGTTTCAATCTCTTCAATTCATCCATGTTCGCAGTCATCTCCTTATTCACTTTCTGTCTTGCCATATCATCTTTGACACAGTCCATCCATGTCTTTTTTGGCCTTTGTTAAATATCCCACTGTTACTATTATAATTTATATCAATTTCTTAATTTTAATAATTTAAAATAGTTTAAAAGAGACTGTCTTTTTAATGTTTTTTTTATTCTTGGATGAAACAACACTGCGGACTGATGGTACCTATATTTTTTTGTCATAAGATAATTGAAATGTACTTCATTATTATGTTTCTATTGTATATACTTCTTTGTCTGCCAGCAATATACTTATCTTTTGTTTCAGTATTAATAGTATATTTCTATATTAGCTATTTGCCAGCCTGCTTTGCATTAATTTTGCTCGAAATGCAGTTTATATTCGGCGTAATCACAGTGTTCTCCGCAGTAGAGGCGCTCAACGAACCATTATCAAGTTTACTGAATATTGCAGAATCGAAACAGAGTAAGTTTATGCACATATATGTATAAAATGCCATCCATATGTCAAAGTATAAGCAGACAGACAACGTCCTCTAGTTAAAACTAAATAGAGCTTTTGCCGTGGATACTACACAACTGTTAGAAATATTTAAATGAAAATATATGAACAATACGATTTACTAATAAATAAAGAAAACAAATATTCGTATAGTGCGAGGATCAAACCTGCGACCACCGGCAGCAATAATATAACAACGAGATTACAATAATAGGACAACATAAGTAATGTAACGGTTTAACTACATTTACATTACTAATAGTGTCAATTTTTTTTTTCATTGGCAAGAGGCTAGTGTTGTCTATTATGCCACTAAAAATAGGAAACGAGAAGGGATAATGGATAGGAACGGATTAAATTTTGAATATACTCGGAATTAGTGATCATGGTGTCAATTTATTACTATTTATTTACAGATTACATAAGTTTTACACAAAAACCTAGAAGACACTGTGAAACCGTGCGGCATCTCGCTCTTTCATATATTAAACTATGTTTAGTGGTGAAAGAGGTGAACAAATGTCATGCAGTAACTGTATTACTAATGTTTTGCAATAATCTTACGCATTTAATTATTGCGCCCTATTACCTACTGTTAACTTTATGTAAGTAATTTAAATTACTAAGTTCATTTATATATAAGCCACGGCGAAGCACAGAGACAGCATGCTTCGCCACTGTGCTTCTCCACAGCTATTGCATTACGGAGAACTAGAGGTTTTAATAGAGCCTGCTGATATTAACAACATACTAAAAAAAACACTACAATTTTAAAGTTACAACTAATAAATAACATGAAATTCAGTCAAAAACCGCAATGATGAAATTTTATGATAAATATGAATTTAAATATGAGGTAACGCGGTATTGGCAGTCTCATTCTGGATATTGCGGTAGAATAAAAAAAACTATACAAAACATAAGCTTAAAATTACGTTTATTTCAATAAACATTATTTCCATTGTAAAACTACTACTAACAAAACTTACACCACTGTAAAAATGTACTATATATTTCAAAAAACAAATATTATCAAGTATTTTAAATAATATTTACTGTAAGTAGATAAAGTAAATGTTTTTATAACATTAAAAAAAAAATTATAACGTCTCCTTTTTTACAGTCACTCCAAGTCCAAACCCTGCGTTATTGCTAGTAGAGATGTCATGGTGTGTAGCGCACATCATCAGCTTGTTGATGGTCGTGGAGCCGTGCCACTGGACACAGGAAGAAGTATAGTTTCTTTTATTAATCTCTTCATAAGCAATATTATGACATTATAATATATGCTATGTAGACTCATATAACATTACTTTTCACTATTATTGTACATATATATAATATCTGCATTTACGCGACACATATTTCACATATGTTTAGGAGTCCCCTCCGATCGATCCCCCGTTTAATTCAACAGGGGATCGAATTTACGACGTTCGAAATACGAATTACGAAGTACGAAACCTAAAGTGATGCGGTTATAACAATTGTTTTGTCTCAGGCCAGCCGCACACAGACCTTGGTGAGTCGGCTGACAGCTAGATTGGCTGGGACCGATCCTTCCCTAGCTACTGAACTAACGAAGTTCTTCAAGCACCTCATACTGAATAAAATTATATATTCGCCGCTAGGGATCTGCCAACTCACAAGATCCTTGTGTGCCTCTGTAAGTGTTTTATTTTATATATTACGAATGCTAATGAAGCATAAAATATTGTATCCAATAAAAAAAGAATCAAATTTGAATTCCTTTATCAGAAAATAAGAAATCATATTCGTCTATATGGCTTGTCCTTAACTAAATACATATATGTAGCATTATTGGTTGAAATAAAGAAAATTTATTTAATAATAGCAAAAAAGCCACAGAAAAATGTTTCGTTGTACTGGCTTCAAAAATGGCGAATTTACATACAAACTTTCATCCCCTATTTATTATACATAATACATTAATACCAACAATCACAAAAAACAATCATTGTAATCCACCGCGGCACATCGAGGCAGCGTTGCCTCTTTGAATGGCCATACTTAGCCTTTGGGCAAAGTACCAGCTACCAGCTCCCGGGTCACAAGTAACCTCGATGAGCCGCGCTGAAATATATGTTAAAAACTGTCATCGCCTATTTTATTTTACCCCCTTAAGGCGAAATTTTTACAAACTGAATATTGTTTTAATTAATATTTACTGAACAATCTAAAAAATAAGTTACAAATTTCTAGCTTTAAAAACGACGATACTTCATACAACCTATCATCTCCCCTTTTAATGACTTAGTAAGGATTGGTTTTAATCTTTTCAGATAACTGGCAGCTTGACGACATATTTAGTTATACTATTGCAATTCCAGTCTATGGAGGAAAAAAAAGAGGGCCCGGGTTAATTATACCACAGATTATACTTATTTTTTTCAAATCAAAACCTCACTGTGTTCTAATTTTGAAACACGTTTATGAACATCACGAAATTGAAAATGTGCACTGTAGTATATACAATAAATATTTAATTAAAACGAATTACAATGTTCGAAATATATAAAAAATATACTGAAAACGCAATTGGTGGAATAAAATAAGAAGTTATTAGCAGATTATTTTACCGGATACAAGTTTTGCGATGCTTAACTTATTTTGTGTGTAATAATTTAGTCGTGTGTATTAAAATATTATGTTTGAGGTATGTTTTGTTTTATTTGTAATATACTGTACACCCTACATTAATATAACAACAACTGTTTCAACAGACATTAGTAAATAAAAATATTGATGTAACGCTGAAATTATTATTATTATACAAATCAAATTGATATCATTAAGTATATAAGATAGCTATTTATTATTCCGTATTACAACCAAATATTATAAATTATACATTTTGTTGATTTAGGTGTTATTTTCCTGAAATTCTTATTACTTAATGGATTTGTATATTTGTTATTTTATTTTATTTTGTTTAATTTCGCTACTAAAGCAGCAAATAGATTAATGAACATGCAAATTTACCTCCATTAACTGCGTATTTATTCTAAATACGCAGAACCTATTATTAAAAATATCCTAGAAGACATCTAAATTAATGAGATTATTATATGGATATAGGTAATGAACTATTTTCTTTTAACCATTAAGTTACAATATATTTATTAAGTTGCTACCGGAACGTACCGGACGTTCTGTTACGCTCCGGCTTCGCACGGGTGTATACGTTTTGTACACATATACCCTTGAATTACTCTATTGCGAAAAATTGCATTAAAATTCGTTTCGTAGTTTAAAACATCTAAGCGAACAGACAGCGGAAGCGATTTCATTTTATACAATGTAAAGACAATTAATCTATTTTTCATTATTATAGTCTTCTAATTCCTGTTCAACCCAAATAGCTTTTGCAGCCACTTCTTCAGGATCTAAAGACTTATAAGCACCATCAGATCCAATTAACACTACTCCATAATCAATGTTGCTTAAATAATTATCAACTTTTACATTCCCATCATTTACTTCATATGCATTTACACTGAAATAATTAGCACTTCTTTTATTAACATGGTTTTCTTTGCGATTGAGATCATCGAAAGCTGGCGAGTTGTTATTTTCTAATACTTCTGGTTTATCTTGTAGAGTAGCTATAATATATTCATACACCGTCGGCAGATCTCTAAATATTTGTGAATATCCCTCTGGTACAGCGTAAAGATCTTCTTCTGCGGGATCATCATTATTTTCTGTATCAGATGTAAGTAAATTTAAATAATCTATTAATACATACTTACATTATAAAATGAAAGTGTGTTTGTTTATTTGTTACAATTTCACTAATAATCTTCTGAACACATCTTAATTAAATTTAATGTCACAAGCTAAATTATCTTGTGAAATCTGACTAATAAATATCACTAGTATAGGCAGCAAATTATTTTTTTGAAAAAAATCTAGAGGTTAGTCTAATAATTATTAGAGTTAATTTAAATTATAGCTAATTTTAGCTGTTAAGCTAGATTGATAAATGAGATGCCTTATCTCGATCCTTCAACCTTACCAAGCAAATTGCTTGGCGACTGAATTGAAGTACCCACGCAGATGACTTTTTAGAAAGTTTATATCAGTATCTATGCCGTTGGTCGGTTGGAGGGTTCACAAATACTCGGTTTACATTATATTTAAAAGTAGACATCGACATTAATCTTCGCTAAATAAAATAATATCCCTGGACAATTCACACAACGCCATCTAGTGCCAATCTAGGCAGAGCTTGCGTTATCTAGTAATAACTGATATAAATACGTAGAAAGCAACACACAAGTTTCTTGCTCATTCTTCTTGTGATGAGTCTACATTCCGATTGGGTAGTAGAATAAAAAAATATGACTATTCAAAAGTGCTTATGTTTAGTTTAAGTTTCAATAAAGATTATTTCTATTTATATTTCTTAGACACATTTTTTTTTGTAAATACATAAATAATAACATAGAAAACACTCAGACCGATACAAACAATCATACTCAGGAGTACAAATGTTTGTACCGTGCAAGGAATCTAACCCGCAACCATCGGAGGTAAAGCGGTATCTTAAATGCTAGACCACTGAGACCATCATGAAGAAAGAACTATGAAAAACACTTACCTTCGCAAAATGCTTCAAAGACTAAAATTAACAACAGCACACATATATAGGACTTCTTTCTCATGCTATTTTTCAACCGAATTTTAGTGAGACCGAAATGTGTGACCACCAACGGTGTAGCTTCATCAATGAATGGTAATACAGTAGAACGCTAAAGTGACACTGCTAAAAGCGATAAGATAGCTATGTTAAAGTATGTTAAAATAATGAATTGTTTTATGCAAAACACCCTTTGATGTCTTTCCTATCTATATCCTGAAAATGTGTTTTTTTTGAGAAGTCAATCGTGAAGCTAATCAATATGTATAAGATAAGAAAGAACATGTCAATTTTCTACCATCAATTTATTGATATCTCTGTATATGTTTTAATATATGTATGTCTTTATATATATAAAAAAAGGTTATTTTTTTTATTTCATTAGAGTAAATTCTTTTCGCTTTTAAAATGGGTTAATTTAGATTGTATACTTGGCTTAATTTTGATAATAGTATAATAAAGATATTTAATTAACGCTCTTTTTATATTAATATAAAAAAATTGTCACAATATTGTACTGTTAATGGTTAGTAAATGTTTATTTTTTTAAACTACTGGAGGAATTAGTATGAAATTGTCATAGAATATCTTCTTAATATGGGTCAACATATAAGCTAAATATAGGTGATAAAAATTATTATGATATATTAACGAAGTAATAAGTAATTGTAATTAGAAAGAAGGAAAAAATAAAAGATTTTACTTTCATCATTATTTTCAATACGCCCTAGAACTTTATTAATTAATTTGCAGGCTTTATTTATTGTCATCATTTAATTTTTATTAATCGGCTGATCCAATGATATCTCGAAACGAAGTCCTAGGCTTCTATAGTATTAAGCAACAATTTTGTTCAAATAATTTAAATATGTCTGCGATAAAGTCCATCTATATGTGAAAAAAATGGATGGACCTTTTTTATTTAATTTTAGGCATACCATTGTTTTTTTCTAATATTATTCTAATACCAACAAATAAATTAAATATATATCTTGTAAGCACATGTATTTTTCGAATACCTAAAAGCATTTTGTGTTTCATCATTTACGCGTCTTTTTGGTTTGCGTGTTTCTAATTACAACTAATTACATCTGTAATTATGTTTTCCACATTATCTTAACAACAAATGTGCCGCCATATATATTCACGCCAATATATATAACGTTAATGTGACAAACAGTTTCAAAATATATCAAAGATGTTCGTCTTCAAAACATGTATTCTTGTAGGAGTGTTTGGTAAGCGAAAAATTTCATTTTATTAATTATTTGTTAACTAATATACTCCTATAATTACTCTATTTTGTCTCCATAAGTATAACCACAACTTTGAAAATGGTAAACATTTATATATTTATATATTTATTTTACAGATATTTTTTAAAACTCATCGTTAAATTACTAAATAGACTTTTTTCGCTTTGCAAAGAGAAGTTTCATATACATTTTTGTTCCTCTTCCGACTTGAAACAACTTGCATCTGCAAAATCATCATTATTAACTTCAAAACTGTGTATGTAAACCAAACATTGATTAATTTAATCAGATGGTCGCAGATTTACTTCCTCGCACGTTACAAACATTTGTTTTCATGAGTATGATTGTTTGTATTGCTCTGAGTATTTTCTATATATACTATATATGTATTCACCAAAAAAAGTTATGTATTTATGTTTGGGAAACTACTCTGCTACCAAAATGTTAGGGAAAGTACTATGTATATATATAATATATATACATATATATAGGGAAAAATTAGTGTGAGTGTTAGTCACCTACCTGTATGAAACTGCGGATTTCTTGGGCTAGCGAAGATATCTTCGAGACCCTGAAGCCCAAGAAATCCGCAGAACCATACAGGTACGTGACTGACGCTTCCACTCATTTTTCACAGTAGGTTTCACAGTTCTAATTTATTTTAATTCACAACACAATGCGCGCGCGCGTCAAGGCCGCTGTACAGTCCGTTCAGTACTAGGTAAAGGAGGGGAAGGCAAAGCGCGGGAACAGAAAACTAACGGACTCTGTGCTTACGATGATACAGGGTAGATTTTGAACAATGCATTTACAATAAAATGTTTAAGTATTTCTACCAACTGTCTGGTACCCATAATACAAGTTCTGCTTAGTTTAGGAGTAGAATGTGTGAATTGTCTAGAGTTAGTATTACTATTATTAAATTCAGTAATAAAAAATTCCAGCTCTCCAAGTAGCTGACTGCAAATACCGTGTGGCCAGATCACCGGATACGTTTGAAATGACCTTTCCTGACCATACAGTAGATGGGGACCAAAATGGTAAGGAAATTGAGGATAAAATAAACCAAGAAGAGGATTATTGGCGGGAGGAGGGACAATCTGATGCTGGGAATCTGGAGAATCGTTATGACGAAGATGATTGGTAAATGTGTTTTATTAACTCCCAATATATGATGATCATGTGTGAAGCCGTTAATGCGCGAAAGCGTAATAGAAATATTGACGCATAGTCTATACATATAAATAAATAAAATTGGAGTGTCTGTTTGTAATGTTGAAATAACCGTTTTTTACTACATGCATAAGAATATATATACGGTATATACACCAAAAAACCATTTTTTACAATTTTTATCTGTCCGACTGTCTGTTTGTTCCGGCTAATCTCTGAAATGGCTGGACCGATTTTGATGGGACTTATTTTGAGAGATAGCTGATGTAATAAGGAGTAACTTAGGCTACTTATATTTTAGAAAAATAAAGTTAAATTCCACGCAGACGAAGTCGCGGGAACAGCTAGTTTATAATAAATACACTGTTTTTGCACTATTGAATTCAAATAAATTAATTTGTATTGTATCTTTTACCGTGGTTTAACAAATTTGATAGGACTTCAGCTTATTTGCTATTTAATTCAAATACAAAAAATATTATTTCTTCTAACTATAGGGAAAAGAATAAAGAAAACTTTGAAAACGAAAAAGATTATCAAGAACAGCATCAAGAAGCCAACCGTGAAGATATGAATGAACATTACAATGAAGACAGAGATGACCTCGAGTCACACCACAACAATAATCAGGACCACTATTCAAACCAGAATGATATGAATACATACGAGGGAAAAGGAGAAGCCGGTAACCAAGAGCTGCAGAACGAAGCTAATGAAAAAGGCGACCATTTTGAACAGAACGGGGAAGACTTCGTTAATGACAGAGACAATATGGATGATTACAGCTTCGAAGGCAAAGGACCTTCATACAATTATGATAGGGATTAAATACAGCATAAACCTTCCTTTCGAACATTATCCAATGAATTTTCATATCTTTAAACACTGAAATTTGATAATAAACTGCACTATATCAATACACTTATGTTTTTTTCTTGAATCTTGAACTTTCATATAAAGCTTTTACCAAAGTAGACACTAAGTCATCAGCATGGGTATCTAATAATATAAACTGTGGTCACAGATCTAAATAAAAGCTAAGTAAGTAATATATCCTAGAATAATACACACTAATGTTACAAAATGTATATAGGATTTTTCTAGCGGTACAAACATTTATATGAATGAGTATGATTCTTTGTATCGGTTTAGATTTTTATATACATCATTTACGTTTTCTTTTTACTAATCTAATGCTGTTGACCGCAGCTGGTAAGCTGTAAAGACAGCTTCACCGGACGATAGGGAGCGAGTGTAGATGGCACTCTAAAAAATGACATTATAAAAAATGAGAATAGATATAATAAATTTATTATCCAATTAAAACAAATGTTGACAAATATAGCTTATTACAAAATTGAAGAGTACTTGCAAGATATTGATTAGTATAATATTTAAAACGTCCGCCTCTCTTCCACGTTGCAGTGCCTAAAAGGAGCATGTTATGTGTATGAATTAATTAATTGTATACCGTAATTGTGTAAAGCAACGTAATAAATAACTAAATCCGCGGAAGGACTTATGGAGCGCCTGAAAGACGCCCGCCTGACGCATACGACTTTAGTCTATAGGCACCGCTAGAAATTCGAACCTCAATTCAGGCCGTCGTAATTTTGAATTGGTCGTCATTTGAATTGGACGAGGAATCGATCGAAGGGGGAACCGTCATTTACGTATATACAAAAAACTGTATATATTTATGTATCAGTGGACTAGTACCCATAACATAAGCTTGCTTAACTTGAGACTAAATGGCGCTGTGTAAATTGTCATGAGATATAATATTATTATATATATATTTTATAAACCTGCTCAAAACTCGTCCGTTCCGTGGTACTAGTACTCTTTTTGTCACCGATCATAGGCCACTATTTTGTGCCCCATTACTCTCGAAAAACCGGAAGTGATAACAATTATATTATAAATAGATATAAATAATTATATAATCTTACTTCTTTATGACTGAACAGATCTTAATGAAATTTGGCTTCAAGATGGTTCGCAGACCATATTTAGTCTCAAAACAGCTAACGAAACGGTACGAACGAAACGGTAGATATATAAAAATAGATATAATAACATGGTGCCTAAAATGTTTACCACCACTGTAACCATAATGAAGGCGAATCATATTAACGAAGTAAACACAATATTTCCGGAACACTACTTATTTGTGTAATCACAGTAAATTGACTCTACAATTGCGTTAACTGGATCTGATTGAGTACTTTTAAAGATTATAATTATGTTTAAATGCACATAAACAGGGATCTATTTATGTATATTAACCAGGTCTCTTAGTTAAATGCGTACATCAAATGTATATAGGTATAAGCAAATTATACCTATATACTTTACACCATGCTTCTACTCTAAAATATGAATGAAAGGCTGACTATACATCTATATATTTATTACTATTTCATGACTAAATGACTGATGGATATTTATTTAATGTCACGATATACATAGTAGTAAGGTTTTTTTATTGTTTGCACCCGCTGGGCTAGTGACAAGTCAATTAGTCCATCGTTGCGAATTAACCAAGACGATTTCCAAAGAGAACCACGTAGAGGTCATGGATAAGCTATGTGTATCTAGTCCCCATTACTAGTAACGCCGTCCCCCTCTTTATGTAATATGTAATGATAATGAATTTTAGATTGTCTATAAATACATAATATTTGAACTAACAATTTTTTACAAAAACTGTTGTCAACTCCTGCACAAATCAGACTACAACAACAAATTAAAGTTTTTTTTTCCTATAAAAATCGGTTCAGTGCTACAGATATGCGCCACACTTACCAGGAGATAATAAAATGTCAAGAGTTATATTACTATTAGTTATTGCTGTGCAAATTTTTGCGTTCACCGAATCAGTTCAGGTTTCGGTGAACGAGCGTAATAGAGATACTATAACAGAAGAGATGAATATGGGAGTAAATAAGTATGAGAACCCGACTTCGGAGCCCAATCCTACCTCTGTGGAGACACGTGATGATATGCGAACTGAACTGGACCGAGCAATGACGGAATGTAATGAAACATTCCGTGTTGAAATGTGTAAGTAATTTTAATAAAATATAAAACTAGCACTTTACCGCGATTTCATTTGAACAATAAAAAAATACTTTCGAATAATTTTTGATATACTACATAGGCTATGTCTGACCTCGTAATAAGATCTATATTAATGTAATTTCGTTTAATCAATAATAATATAACAATATTCTTAGAGAATTCACAAAGCGACTTTTAATTCCAAGTTTAGCAGAGCTTGTGTTATGGGTATTAGATACTATACTTACAAACATTTTTACTTGTAAATATATATATATGTAATATATACATAGAAAACATTCAAACCAATACAGTAACAAATACAATCTCTAATTTTCTTAAAATCTGTGCAACCATCTAGCTGTGAAAAAGTAATGACGAGGTCGAGTGGAATGAGTAGTCATGCTCACTAAAATGTTCAGACATGTGGCGGCGTGGTGGGCCATTGGGCTTCCTAAAATATGGTCGAGCGCAATGATGGATGGCTCATCCGTCATACTCGTGAACGAGTGCTGCTTGTAGGGACTGGTCTGCTCTTATCACTACGACTGATTTAATCTTATTGTGTTTATATATTTGAGCCTAAATGAATCAGTGCTGGTTGGTAGTTTGTATTCACACGTTTCGACTTGTGAAAATGTGAACTTACAAGGATTGTTTAAAAGAGCAACACACTTTCCTAGCTAGCTTTCCTAATTAGCGATAGAAAATTGTTGACTATTCAAAAGTGCTTAAATTAAGTTTATTTGAATAAATGATTTTCTATTCTATTCTATTCTATTCTATAATAAACAGACAGATAAAATTTATAAAATAGTACATATTTGTAACTCCTAGAAGTTCCCATGAATCACATTATCACATGTGATCCTAAAGGTAGTCATAATCAAATTGAAATGCGGCGCTGTATTATAAAATTGCTTTGAAACCGTGAACCGAACCGAAATCGAATAACGCGAATATATCTGGTACACGTACATATAATATTTTATTATGTTTTAGCCTATTTGGAAGCACTCAATGAAAGTGGTAGCTTTCCAGATGAAACAGACAGAACACCAAAAGTAAGTATCCACTTGGGAATAGTAACGCCATTGGTAACAATAAATTGTTACCAATGGCGTTACTATGCATATACATAGTACTTAATACTAGGTGATTAGACACGATGGGCTAACTGATTTTATGCTTATATCATAGTCCATAGGCCATTACAAAAAGTATTATAAAGATGGAAGATTTGTTTTTTATTTGTATATTTGTTTGTTTGTGTTAGATGCGCGTGGAGGTGGACCTGATATGGCAAACCATATCAGGTCCACCTGATGGAAACTATCGTGATTTACTCCTGGTAAATTCGTCATGATGGGCTAACTTAACGTCATGCTCATCCAATTGTTCTACACTAGTGTCCCGCCAGCATAAACCGCTAACGTAAGCGGATGAATCATTCTATTCTATATTATCTTCCATAAAAATTAAACTTTTTTGATGTGTATATTTATTTATTTTTTATATAATTGTGTATTTATTTTGTGAGTATTATAGATTATCAACAATACACTCGCAGTTAATAATAATGTCCCTGGATAATTCAAATAACTCCATCTAGTCCTAAGCTAAGTAGAACTTGTGTTATGAGTATTAGACAACTGATATTATACATAGAAACATTTTTTTTATATACCTACATAATATGCATAGAAAATACTGAGACTGATACAAACAATCATGCTCATGAATACAAATGTTTGTACCATGCGAGAAATTGAACCCGAAATATTACTTTTTTCTATGTTGTAGTGCTTTGTACGCTGTGTACTTGAAAAAACTGGAGTAGCATCTGAGGAGGGGAAGTATGATCCGACTAGAACGGCTGTAGTTTTCGCGGGGGAAAGAGCAGGCAGACCAATGAATGATATTCAGGACATGGCCTCAGGATGCATTGATCGACGTAAGTACTGTTGAGAAATATGAACTTTGTGAGTAAAAAAAAGAGATTTGAACAGAAATAATGGTATAAAATCTCTTTAGTACTTTATTTTATGATTTTCAAACAGAGAATCCTTTGTATTCTCGAGTGATCGGCTTTTGTTTTGTTTTGTTTTTCCGCAACATTACTTTACAGTGTTGTTTTTTAATTATTGTGTAAGTTTTTTAGGTGTCACCATCGATCACGTGTTCTTAATTAACACAAATAAAAATAATTTATTGAAGTTAGTAAAATTGCTAAATGTTAGTATTGGGTAGGTACTACTAATTGCTAGAATTATTAAAATGTAAATTTCTAGTAGTTTTTACCCCCTAAAAATATCTAATTATTAGTAACCAGGGTATCAGTTAATAAAATATATATTTATCTATTTTATGCACTTTTCTTCAGAATATTAAACAAACATAAGTTTCCATAACTATAGTGTCATGTTCGTTAAATTTTTTACACAATGTTTATTCTGTCTTAAAGCAGACAGATTCAGAATTAAAAAAAACTTCTTTGTTACAAATAGTTGAAAGCCCTTGAAATTCAGAAATAATATATACATAGACGACCTGAATATTTTTCGAATCTAATTCTAATGTATTTTGGTTTAATTTCACTTGTAATGTTATATTTCAGGAGAATCGTGTAAATGTGAAAGAGCATATCAATACATTAGATGCTTGATGGAAGCTGAAATTCGGAAATATGAATAAAATTAATTCGATGGTCTTATTCGGAAATCACAGCAACCAATGGACAAAAGATATACTGTATTATGTAGATAATGTAATGTAAAATACTTTTAACATTACAGAGGAATCCTAATTGCAAACATAAATCCAGTATTTTATTTAAAAATATACCTATAGTAGTATTTTTAATTAGGTGAAGCTAACTGACAGTAGCTAATGTCACGTTATGAAATAATGTTGCCATATTTAAAGTAATAGTGATGCGTTCAGTTCTCGGTCAGATGAATGAACAATGAGTGTGAATAGTTAATCATTTCAAACTACAAAATAATATTATTTCTATTTTACAATAAAGTTGTATGAAAGTGCTCTGATATAAGTTACTAGTGTTATGTAACTACAATCAGTTATTTGACAGCTTATTACAAAGCGCGCTGTGGCACTAGTAGCCATTAGTGCCAACACGTCATCGTCAACGTCGCGAGCGTCGGTCGTCATTTTGTTCGTAATTCGGCTTCTAACCTCTGGTCTGAGAGCACGAATGCTTTTTTTTGCGCTCACACTGTTTTGTTATTGTTTTTGATAATTTTTTCCTTCTGTTGTGTTTGTTGTAATAGTTGTAATAGTGTATATTGTATATTTGCTATATTGTTTCGTACCAATGTATTCTCCTCATGGATGGATGGAAATGGATCCTCAACCATGCATGTCAAGCCAAAGCTTGTCTCCAAGAAAGAAGAGACCACGGATTGCTTTAAGCGTTACCGAAAAACTTATGATACAAAACGTCTACAAACACGTATTTGAGGAGAAAGTTGCATCACTATTTCTATTGAGGCTCCCGAAAAAAAAATAATGTATTTCAAAAACAGCTAACTTTTTGGGAATTGGTGTGACCTCAGTCTACAATGTGTTAAAAGAATACAAAGAAAATGAACAATTTCAGTCTCTGGAGAAACGTGGACCAAAACACTGTTTCAAAATTAAATTATTGTCAATTTTTCAGACAGATTTATAATTAATGTCACCGAAAGCAACAATGATTTTTTTATCTGATGATGAATAAAAACAAATTTTGTAATAAGCCAAGTTTTTTATTTTTATTACCTAACTATATTATGTTAGATATTTTATACATCTATAGTTTTAACTACATGATGTATTGTAAATAGGACAGTCTTAAAAGTTTCCTCGCAATTTTTTTCTTCATGTTTCAAATACTCTGTATTCAGTATAGGTAGATACTAGAGGAACATAGTTGTCGAAAACTTGTTGGTATGTATAAAGCACAGCTAAAATTCGAACCCCGTACCCGATATCGGCAGTTCGTAACACTAACTATTCACTAGACTAGACAATTGAGGCAATTCCATTAATTCAGGATTTTTTTCAATTATTCACTTTGTCACAACACTATTTTTATTTTATCAAATACTGACAACACAGTAAACGTCAGTTGACTTCGTCTAATTAAAAATACGACTATATTGTAATTGCTTTGTCAGTTTATTCATCATAATCACCATTCCTCCTTATCCCAATTATTTGGGGTCGACGTAATACGAGTATGCTTTATCAGTTTGTTATTACAGATATATTAGGGCGGCCTAGGTGGTCTTATCCTCAGATAGTAGCGAGATTGATTCACGCATTATGAAAATATTTATTTCTTAAGATCGTTATACAAACAAAAACAAACAAACACTTGTAATCGAGTAAAAATTGTAAATAATTATTATTATTTGTATGGTAGAGTGTTTTTTGCTATGTGTATATTATGAATGTATGTAATTACAAAAAAAATGTATTTAAGTATTGCTATCAGTTGTTTAAAAACCATAATAAGAGTTTGCTTAGCTTGGGTATAGTTGGCACTGTGAGAATTATCCTAGGCTATTACTATTAAAATCGCTTTTAAAGTTACTTTTTTTTAATGCTTACTTTGAGTCTAAAAAATTTGACTGCTCTTAGAATATGGAATATAACCGCAGTCTATATCAATTAGTATCTATAGATATAAAAAAAAAGTTCACAGAAAAACTAAATATTAAAACTTGACAATTCTTACATGTTAGACATTGAAGGTGTATACAATTACAGACAGATAAAATATTGATAATCATTTTATTGATAGAAACAACTCGGAAAATACAAAAAACAGAAAGACTAGCACACAATTCTTATACTTAATTAACAGATCTTTGCATAGAAATTATTATTTTTAGGAATCTTTTTTTTTACTCGTTATCCTTGTTGCCGCCGAAGAGAGATTGCCAGATACCACCCAGCCAGCCAGTTTGAGGTTCTCTGTAAAAGGATATATTTATTACTGTAAAGTTTCCAATTATTTCTTTATTATTACTAACTACCGGCCCCGGTTCCGGACGGGTATACATTTTTTTATTGCATAGGGGACATACGAGCTTGCGACTCACATGATGGTAATAATTACCGCCGCCCATGAGCAAGTGTAGCAACACCAGGAGAATTGCAAGTGTGTTGCCAGTTTTTAAGAAGGAATAAGCTCTTTCTTGTAGGCTTCAATATCGTATCGGTTTGAAAATACCATTGCTGGAAGGTGATTGTTTTACACATGTAACATGTATACACCTTCCTCTAGAATCGCTCTATATATTGCTAAAATCTGCATCTGTTAAATCCGTTGCGTAGTTTAAAAGATCTAAGCGAACAGACAACGGAAGCGAGTTCATTTTCTAATATGTAAAGACTTCTGATAAGTATCTATGATAGAACACTGAAAGTAAGACAGACCGTCAACTTTACTATTTGGCCAATTGTATTCACACAAAATTCTTAATAATGTAATTCTGAACAGAGTTTATTTGTAAGACCAACACGTGTTTCTATTTCCTTCTTGTGATGAGTCTGCATTCCCAATAAGTCGTAGAATAAAAAAAGAAGGACTATGCACAAGTACTTATAATAAGTTAATTTGAATAAATATTATAGAAATAGAAATTTGTAACGCAGATCCAGATAATCTACTTTCCCTTAACCTAAACGAACTTAACTCATAAATGACCCATGAAAACCTCACTCTAAATAACTAACGCTAACTGAAATGACTGAACTGACTGAACTGAAATGACTGTTTTCAAGGGTTCCCCTTGAAAACAGTCAAGGTTAAATCCTGGTGTCCCGCCGTGAACACCATTATAGGCCAAAATCCCGGGCCTGCTAAACATCACTTATTTTCTGATGAATGAACGGGATGATTGAGTAGTGCTAGTAAGTACTACGATCGATGTTTTCCCTTTAGCTTGACCAGACGGCCATTCCCAGGTATCCAGATACTGACGGTACATAAAAACTGTTGACGTCATTTATTTTCCTGTGGCTTATTATGGCGGGTAATATTATAGTAAATTATAGTACTAGTAGTAAATTATAACACTAATACTACTGAATCATCAATATATTTCGATCATCAAAAATAAGCAATATCTTATGGACTCGGGATCTTGGTCTATTAAAACAGAATGAACTGAAGCTTTTCACTATTATTGGAATGATTGAATTGGAATGATGCATCTTCAAACGACATTAAATCTGTCAGAAAGAGTTACAGGCGCCGGCGTGATAGTAATAAAATGTTACATAATACACATACACAATTACCTATAAAACCTTTTACTTTAAGTTACTTATTCTATGATCTAATAATTAATTAAATAAAATAGTACTCATAGATGTACAATAAAAAAAAATGGGATAATGTTATTAAATGTACAAATATGAAAAGCAACTGAACAAAATTAGTAGGTTAATGCATTTTATTGAACGGTATCTGCCAATTGGAATCTCTATTGTGTTTATAATTGTTTATTCTATCAACAACATATGTCATCTATTATTCAGAAACTGGATAGCTCCTGATTTCAATTAAAAAATAAAATAAAAAATATTACCTCATAAATTAGTGCTAGTTGGTAGTTTGTATTCACATATATCAACAAAAGTAAAAGTGTACAACTGCGTGCAGTGTTACAACTAAATTATCGTAAAGAGCAACAAGTTCGTTACTAGTTCTTGTCTTGTCTTCATGAGACAGCTTTCCGAATGAGCCGGAGATTAAAAAAATAAGTAATGACTAATTAAAAGTCCTTCAACGTGAGTTTATTTGAATAAGGAATTTTCTATTATTTTTGTACCTGTACTTATTAAACAAAATATTAAAAAACACAGTATAAAAATATACGAAACGAAATGTGGACATGTCAAGTGTTGCGTTCACCTCAGCATCGACAGTTGACAATACCTCTGACTACCCTATCTGGGATAACAGTAGTTACGGTATGTGATATGTCAATTAAAACAAAATATGCAATATTTTTACAGCACAATACTGATATACGCCATAGAGAGAGAAAGGCAATTGTTGGTAATGTGGACTGGTGATCCCATTGCGAACAATGTATGGTACATTCAGGTCAGGTTGATCGTTTCTCCTGGAAAGCATCATGACAAATTCCTAGTGAATTGTCATAATGGACTAACTGATCTGACCTCATGTTCATCTTATAATCCTCTACTGGTGCCCCGCCAGAGTAAACTGTGAGCGCAGGCGGGTGCACCATTCCATTATTAAAAAAAAAAAATTATATATACGCGATAGAAATGTGTAATATGACATCTAAAATCACTCAGTACATTTTTCGTATTGGTTGCAGACAAACGTTTAAATAATTTCAATCTTATTTACATCTAGCAGCATTTAAGAATTCCCTGAATAATAATTATAATAGCTTTTAATACCGTTTAAAACCACAAACTAAATAAATAAATCCTATAACTATAAATGATGTAATTATTCTTCTTATTTACCTATTCAATTCCTACATTTTGGATGATTTTTCGGTTTACACTGATGTGGACGATGTGAACTCATTGTTGGATGTCTGAAAAAGTATTTAAATATATTTCTACCCAATTATATTGTGTTAAAGATATGAAACCTAGATATTTAGAGATTCCAATTGTATGAGCTATATTTTAAAACACCATTTTGCTAGCAGCCTAATATGAAGTAAGTATATTATTAATATAGTTAAACGAGTTTTAATATGAATAATTTACACCCCTAGGAATATATATATATAAATACTCCAAATACAGCTTTTTTTCGGACTAATCTAATATTGTTGGCTGCAGCTAGCCTCTATAGCTTCACCGGATGATAGAGGGCGAGTGCAACTCTCAACTCTGTTACGGGTTCGTACCTCGTCCCATGCCTCATTAATGAATTGAGGCAGGTGATCAATCAAGAAATCAATCAAGAAACCTTTTTATGTAATCATTCAGACATGTGAATGAAAAAATGTGAAAATGTGAAAAAATATCTTTAATATTTAATAGAAAAATTATACTTTAGTATCGAATACTTATAATCAAATCAAAAGTAATTTAGTCATGTTGGACATTTTAGACGTATACTGTATTGATATTTTTCCCTATCGTCCAGTTCATTTATACCATACAGGTTCAACTGAGAAGAACTGACACACTCAACTGAATTTCATTTTTTTAAGCTAGTTTCTTTACGTAGTGTGCTTATATAGGTTTCCATAAATTAAAATCCTGTGCCTGAAGAACGATTGCCATTGCACGTTTGTGACTTAAGTAATTGTTTAGTAATAGGCTTTGCAGATGTTTTAATTAGTAACAAAACGACAAGTTAATAAAACAATCACATATAAAAGACACGTTCACAACACATCAATTGTAAATGAATGCTACCTTTTCTTATCTCCTTGTACATTCGTGCCTCTGTAAAAAATATCTTGCTAAATTAATTATATAAATAACATTTGCTACATGTATTCATTCAAAATACCCATACTCTTATCATTCGTGGGAATATATTATTTTCTCCAAACCTAATGTATTTTTTTAATAATTTTATTTATCAAAGCGTAAAATCATACATAAATCACCTATATGTAAACCTTATTACCTTTTCTTTACTTTATACTTAAATACATTATTTGTGTAAATACATAAATAATATACATAAACGACACCCAAACCAATACAAACATACTCATGAAATCAAAGTATCGAAACCGCGATCATCAAAAGTAAGGCGGTGAACTAAACCGCTAGATCACTGAGGTTATAATAATCTATATAAATATTCTTTGTAATTAATCCTATATACTAGGATTTAATAAATATGATAGAGGTTTACTTACTCTTTCTTGCATTTGTACATATTGTTCACTTTCTTAACATCACCGCGGCTGAGGCCCTCTCTCTGGCCCAGTGTGTACCCGCCCACCTTGGGAGACAGGATAAAGATATCTTTAATACAAAATCTCAATTGCATTATTCATACAAAATATGTATAAGTATCTGGCCCCGGTTGTCTCGGATTTAATAATGTGTAGTAAAAATATACATAGGAAATACGGGTAATTTTCTACGTGATAGAGCCCAAAACAAGGATTGGAAGATTTTTTTATTCAGTGTTTTTGTATATCGTCCAAATAGACTTCAAACATGATAACCATTCAAAATCATAAAAATAGTGTAGTAAAGTAAGAGGATCATAGAAGTCTCATGTAAAAAAAATAATGAAAAAATAAACTGGATAGGCCTTGGATGGCCGTGTTTCCTTGTAAAGCCAAAAATTAAAATAATAAAGTGAGAGGCCATGAAAGTCTATGCACCTTTTATTAAAGTGTCGTCTTTTACTTAATAATTGTTAAAAATGATGTATTAATAATTGGCCTTACAATGAATATTCTATTTTCCTAACATAACCTTAAGTCATTACGTAAGGTCCTTACGATTTTAAAAATAATGAAATGAGAACGTAATCCTTACTATCCTTACTTCCTTACTAATATTATAAATGCGAAAGTAACTCTGTCTGTCTCTCTTTCACGCCAAGACTACTGTACCGATTTAAATGAAATTTGTTACACAGACAGTCTAGAGCTTGAGAAAGGACATAGGCTACATTTTAATGCGAAAAAAGGGTTATAAGGGGTTGAAAGTGGAGATGAAGAGTTGTATGGAAGTATCGCCATTATTAAACCTGAAACTTATTTTTTAGGTTATTGATTAAATATAAATAAATATGACATTCAAAGTTTGTAAAAATGTTACCTTTAAGGAGATTATATTAAATTAGCGGATGAAAGTTTATATAGAAATTCCTCATTTTTGAAACTTTTCTTTGGATTTTTTTGTATAAATTTTAACAAGGCCCAATAATCACCTTAGGTTCGATGGTTTTCCGTGAGTTTCTTGAGAACGCATATTCAGAGTAATGCATCACGCTATTGTAGTCGTATGATACGCCGAAGTCATTTGTATTCCTCTTCTCTTCTTTTCTGAAGTTGTTCTCTGTTCCTGTAATAAACATATATATTAAGTAAATTTTCTTACATAAAAAAATATATTAAAAATATTGCCCAATTTTACCAATTTTAAATTCAATTATTAAGATATTGGAAAACACCAAGAAGACTAATCCGAAGACAAACAAGATTAATCAGAGAGACGACGGTAGACTCTTCCTTTTCCACATTATATTAAAAACATACCTAGCAAAATATAGATTTGTTTTCTGTTGACCATGTCTCTTAATCTAAATTAATCTTTCATAGAATCGTCTACAACCATTATGATAGCATAAATAAATATATTATATTTGAAAAAAAAATATTTTTTCCCTCATTTTTGTATTTTTTCATTCACTCTACTCATTATTTATAGTCTGTTTTTTACTGTTATTGTATTGTAAAATGAGATATTGCATGCGTATCTGTTGATATAAAATAGTTTGTTTATATGAAAATGTATATATTGTATAAATTAAAATATCTTTCTTATTCCAAAATAATCTAAGAATCTAAAGTTTCTCACCGGGTTTTATATTATTGTACATGACATTAACGAAGTCGTCTCGCTCGGGACGACTTTGTTCATGCATGAAGCCGATGGCGTGCAGTAACTCATGCAACACGGTACCCTTCTTGGTAACACAGCCAGGGGACTGCAGATTCACTTCCTGACGGCCACCTATCAACAAACAAAAGTTTCACCTTTTTTGGATGTAAATCTATAGAGTTAGTCGTTAGTAGAAATACTAAGTGTAATCGCGGTTTAGTACACCGCCTTACTTCCGATAGTTGCAGGTTCGATTCCGGTAGACTATGTCAAAAAGTCATCAGCAGTCAAGGGCTTTTTTTTAATTGATGGTAATGGTATTGTGCTCCCGCCTGCGGTAACGGTATATGCTCGCGGGGCTCCAGTAAAGTATAATAAGATGATAATGAGACAACTGATATAAATACATTTTTATCTAAATACATACATAATATATATAGAAAATACCCCGACTGATACAAACAATTATTACATATAGTACTGTGCGAGGTATCGAACCCGCAATCATCGAAAATAAAGCCACCGAGGCCGTCGAATATATGTAATCAGTTTCAGTCGTGTTATTATTAAATGTAAAAAAAAATACCAATCCGTCCGACGCTCGACCAACATCCAGTGTTTCTACTTTGTATTATGATGTAGTCTTGCTGTTTGCCATTGTAAGGAACAAACCGGAGGCACGTCAGCCGGTGATAATCAGCAATCGCACTCATGATTGTGTCACGTTGCTGCTGATCTGAAAACATAATAATATATTTCTATATAATGCTGCCTGTTTTACAAAATATAATCTAGACACGCGGTAGCGTGTCAAGCCGAGTTTAAAGTAAAAGAACTGGCGAGCAGCACCGTGTGTATATTTACACGAACCATTTGGAGCCACTTTTGACCCCCTCATAACTCAAAAACTCTTTCATATAAACCTGTCAAATTTTGTTCATATACTGAGACTTGCGAGATAAATATGTGTTCCAAATTTCACAATTATATCTCAAACGGTTATTTAGATACTAACGTCCAAATATCGTCATTTTTATCACTGATCAACCTTAGATCAAAATTATAACCCTCTTCCAGATGACCTAGGAAGTTCAAATTTGGCATGCAGATAGGTAATTTTTAAATAGTTTTCATATACGAAATATACTGTAGCCTTCGCTAGTTCTAAACATGTTACTTGTCGGTTCCTATTTTATTATTAGTAGTAACTAGCAATCGAAAGTAATAATTGGTATATGAGAACTGGCCAAGTTAGACCTTAGGCTACAGTATATTATCCTAAATTATAAGAAGAAATGATATTTTATATTGTTATAAATACATTTCAGGACAGACCATTGAACTTGGCACCCATTTAGATCTCACCTCTTTTGTCGTAGAAGTCAACAATCAAGGCATATATCATAATATTAAACTCGGCTATCATTTCACATTTATGTTTTTGATGGGATAAAATAAACTTGCACAATCCCCACAGGTCATTTAGTCCCAAGCTAGGCAGATCTCATGTTACGGGTACTGGACAATCGATGTAAATACATAATATACATAGAAAATACAGATCCTTTAAAACAATCATTGAACCGGCGAACATCGTAAAAATAAGGCGATTTGCTAAATCGCTACCAATAAAAATATTGAATACTGATGTTATTTTTTTTTTCTGGTGTATATGTATAATATTTGATTATGTATAATTATTTGATGTATACTATATTATTATGTATTCATATGTATGTATATATATGTAAGTTTGTGTATTTATTATATTTTGTTTACATAAGTGTATATATTTTTTATGTTTCCACTAATGTGCCACCTACTCTATTTTTTTTTGTAAATACTCTCTTTCCAAAGGTTGTCCGTAAGAGATTGCATTAGCGATAAGACCGCCTTTTGTACTTAGTTTTTTTTTATGTTTTTAATTTTGTTCATGTCCTTTATATGTTGGTGCAATAAAGTGTTATAATAATAATAATAAAGTATACCTTGTAGATATAGCCATCCCAAACACACACAATATACAAAGCACACCCAATGAAAAACTAACAAAGTACACAGATCTAGCAATAGAATTAAAAAAACAATGGAAAGCACGCACCATCCACATAGTACCTATAGTTTTGTCATCCACAGGAATTATACCAAAAAGTCTGAACAAACACCTAGACACGTTGCATATCCCCTCCTCTACAATAGACCTATTACAAAAAGCCGTCATAGTAAACACATGCCGAATAGTAAGAAAATTTGTTTCTTCATCACATAACTCATCCATGCTTGGCTAAGGCCCCCGTGTTTGAATATATTACCCCCGTAAAAAGGGATATACAAAAAGATATACAAAAAAAATAAACAATAATAATAATACTAGATATATTGTATTTTAAATTAACATGTATGTTTTTTATTTAATTTGAATGGCAAGCAGGCCGACGACCCAAATGTTGATTAGTGGTAACTGTCGCTTATATACATAAATGGTACTACGGACATCGCGACGTCATATGACGACCATGGTAAACCACATTGCTATTTAGGAGGACTGAAATGTTATTACCCAAATATCCTGTATTTACACTATGTAAACCCTTCAACCGAAACACACCTGTCTTACATATATATGTGACCACCTATATTACAAACTAGCTGTACTCGCGACTACGTACGCGTGGAATTTTACTTTATTTTTCTAAAAAAAAAGTAGTCTAAGTTACTACTTATTACAACAGCTACCTGCCAAAAAAAGTCCCGTCAAAATCGGTTCAGCCATTTCAGAGACTAGCCGGAACAAACAGACAGAAAAACAGAAATTGTAAAAAATGATAATTTGGTGTATGTACCGTATTTATATTCATATGCATGTAGTAAAAAATGGTTATTTCAATATTACAAACAGACACTTCTATTTTATTTATATATATAGATATATGAATATATATTTATAATACAGAACCAGAAATGTAACTATAATAATTTAATAGCAGTAAAAAGTATTGTAATTAAATATATGTAATACTTTATAATAGATATATAAGTATTCCATTTTATTAAACTTAATTATTTGACGGTCACATAAATTCTATTTTAGTTTGAAATATTCTATATTTTTTAAATTTATTTTCATATAGTTTAAAGTATTTTAATTTAATTAAATATTCATTCACGTCTATGATCATTTTATAATGAAATTATTGTAGAATTTTGTAAATCTGTCTCGTATTATTGTGTTATTAAGTTTTTTTTATAAAGTATATTCTGTACCAGATTAAGTTATACTTACTAAAATATCCCTCAATAACATAAGGAATGATGCCACCTGGCCACCGGTAAGTTTCATGGCTGATCCCATTCCTGCCAAGGGGTTTTGGAATCAAAATATCACCTTCGGCATACCCGCCCATTTCCTCGGGATTCATTAATGATGATTCTGACCATGTTGACACTGAATCACCTATAAATAAAAAAATAATACCATAGACAAAAAAAAAACATTTTTTTATATATCTTAAGGGGGAAACGAGCCTGCGGCTCATCTGATGCTAAGTGATTACCGCCGCCCATGACCATTCGCAAGACCAGAGGATTGCAGAAGATTGCAAGTGATTTGCCTGCCTTTTAAGAAGGAATAAGCTCTTTTCTTGAAAGTTTCAGTATCGTATTTATTCGGAAATAGGAGTATTTTTATAAGTTTCAAAATATATCCATACTAGTGTTACAAATGCAAAAATATGTATGTTTAATTGTCTGTCTGTTTCGGTAGTAACTGCTGAACCTAACTTAATGAAATTTGCAGTCAAGACACATTTTATTTTATCTCAAAAAAGAAGACAGTCATAGATAAACCCATTTCTCAATATTCAGAGTGTTTATTTAATTTATAATCATATATATAAAATTCTCGTGTCACAGTTTTCGTTCCCATACTCCTCCGAAACGGCTTAACCGATTCTCATGAAATTTTGTGAGTGAGTAGGTCTGAGAATCGGCCAACATCTATTTTTCATCCCCCTAAATGTTAAGTAGTCCACCCCTAAATTTTTTTTTTATTTTATGGAAAAACAACTTTTGCCGGGAAGCTAGTATGAGTATGTTTGTGTCTATACCAATAATACAAACATACTCATAAAAAAATTCGAACTCGCGACAATCAGAAATAAGGCGGTTAGCTAAACATCTACACCACCGAGGCCATCTTAATATTAGTATGTCTGAATTAAGAGTTAACTATAAAAATTGTTTAACTGTGTTTAAAATTTGCAGAAAACACGGTACAAAAAAAATAAAAATTACGTATGTATCGACAGCTATTAGGATGTCATAAAGGCAAGGAAGTAAGCCGTCACAGTCAGGATCCAAAAGCATATTTTCGCGCCATTATCAAATCGCTTGTCATTTGTACGTGTTAATATAGGTGTCAAAAAAGCTATATACCAAATACCAAGGAATGATAATACTTCAGTACATGCATTGATAACTCTAATGATTAATGATTATTGTTTTATGTTAGGGTTCTGTAATGAAAGAAAAAATTTGTGTAACGATGTCGTATATCTGTTGGATGCCACTGTACTTTTGCTGCATGATTTGTGTAATACAATTTCATTCTTCAACGGATATCAAAAAAATCAATCGGTTCTAAATTTCACTGGTTATTTTTTGTGTTACCTCAGAACTTTTGTAGTATATGAACATAATTTTAATGACACTTTTCTATTTGAATTGTTAATAGTTTTAGTTACAAACTATAGTTTCAAAAATTTAATTAATATTTTCAACCTTACAAATTTCAGATCTAACCATTCAACCATTTTAAAAAAGGAACAATTTGGGACAAGGAATAGTAGGTGCGGAACCATACTAGGCGCTGCTATATTGTTCCTATTTTTGTTTTACAGTTGCAAGTAGTATAAATATTATTTATAATTATGTATAATATAAATTTAATAATATTATTGTGTAACATTGTAGACTTTATGTATAAAAATCAATATGGAATATATGGTATAACAGATAGAAGCGAAGTATTTTAATTGTAAGGGGAAGGGGTAGTTGGTAATACTAACTAAAAGTCCTATTGCTAACAATGTATAAATTATAGCACTGAGTTTTTTCTGTTTTTACCATACGGCTAAGAAGATAGATAGCAGATACAAACTTACCACTTTCATTCTTCGGTGTGCCGTATACCTCTGTTCCCAAATGAGATATGTCTATAGTATTATCATCACCATCAATACTATTATCAATGTTACCATCTCCGTTTAAATCTTCACCATCTTCTAGAGGCAAAGCTTTATAACCGGATATTAAGAAATATAAAAACAAAATATTTACACATGCTCTCATTATACCGTCTGTTTAAACGAATTATTTTTTTGGAGAAAATAATATTTTTACACGAAAGTACTAGGCGACCATAAGACACCCGAAAGTGTGTGGTGAAAATTCATATGCCGCGAGTATTTATAATGGTGAACACCACGCGAGGACCTGTCATAGGGTAAACAGACGACAAGGTTCGTTACTCCTACTTCCTGATAAAGGATGTAGCGGCGAAAATATGTAAACTAATCGATAAGACGAACCTTGGTTGTTTTGCTTTCAGTTAACATTTCCTTTATTTTCCATATACACAAACAAAATAAAATATTTAATAAACGAAATTATTTCAACACAAATATCATAAATAGATATAGAAATAACCTAACCTCGCTAAAGTATAAAAAATTAAGATTCTTTTGTCAGGTTTGGGAACTAAAAATAAATACAATAAAATAATAAAATAAATACATATAAAATTTCACCAAATCCGGTTCAGTAGTTTAGGATTTCATCGCGGACAAACAACGTGACAAAAAAAATATATTTAGACGAAATAAACAAGATATTTTATATATAGGTATAAGATATATATACATATATGCTGGTGGGTTTCCTTTTAAATGTCGGATGTTTGTCACTTGCCATTCCTCACTCACTTTTTCTTTCCTGTATACATTATTTACGTTGTAGGAAATGGTACACAATCGTATGTTGACACAAACAAGGTCTCTGTTATCTGCCTTACATAAGATGCGCTCAGTGATTGATATGGTTACCAGCCTCGTTGGTTTTTAAGTAAAATATTACTTGAAAGACCATACGCTAATATAGGCAGTGTGAGTATAACCTACTTTTTATGTTGTCCTAATGCACCTAATCACTCTGCACTAATATTATAGAGACGATGGATTTGTATTTTCGTAAGTTTGTCTTTGTTTGTTTGACCTTTGTCCAGCAGTGGACGCCTTCCAGGCTGAGATGATGATGATGATGTTTGTTACATACAGATAGAATATATTTACACAAATTAAAAAAAAATGCAAATTAGCATTATTTATTGACTTAAAATTATTATTATTTATATAAAGATGTCTTGCTTGTTGTATTAAAAAATAGATACAAACATTTGTATGCATTAGTATGTTTTTTAATTTCATTTATAGTTTTCGAAATTTACACCGTACTAGGCGAAACTATCGCGGGAGTCCACAAATGAATTGCAATATTTGAATATTGCGTATACACTTTTCAAAAAATTAAACGTACAAATTCTGTTGTTTAGAATCTGTAGCTCAAACACAGTTTTGTGGTTTTCTTAGTTTGGAGGGCCTTGGGCTTGTTCTGGCTAATTATTAATAGGATATCATTTACCTCAGAATAATAATAACTATTGTCCTAATCATACCTTGTATAGATGTAGTTGAGTTTATGAGTTTGATTTTTATTTTTACTAATTAAAAAAAAAATTACGAATACTCATAATAGAATAAGAGATAGACCAAAAGGATGTCGCCACAGAGAAAGCGACAGGAATTACCTACTTTAAATAAAAAAAAAGTTTATCTCGTTTTGGTTTCGTCATTATCATTACATAGTATAAAACAAAGTAGCTTTCGCTGTTTGTCCCTATGTATGCTTTAATATTTAAAACTACGCAACGGATTTTAAAGCTTTTTTTTAATAGATAGAGTAATTCAAGAGGAAGGTTTATATGTATAATACATGTACACTTTGGCGAAGCCAGGGCGAGTAGCTAGTTAAGTACAAATCTTTACTTTGAATCACCTTACCCCTGAACAAAATAAATTGTTACCTATCTATACTGAGAAAGATGCACATGTTATCTCTAAAAAACCACAAGAAAGTAGGTCAGTGTCATGGTTGTAATCTATTACATATGACGAACAGTTCTTATAAATCTTGTACACATATTATCTAGGAAATATATTTCACGATTTAGATGGAGATTTTTATTATGACCTTTCAATTGTACATTTGGAATCTCAATAAAATAATTATTGCTCAATAATTTTAAGTATTGAGAAGCAAATCATTAGCCTTTTTATTGAAATAAAGTATGGGTATGTTGTTATACATTATTTATATTATTAACCGTGTCTTAACACGAATAATTTTATGGCAATAACATAATATATATTTACCTCTCTCGGAAGACTCGGTTAATAATATAACTAATGTATATTAAACACGAAATTATTACAAATAAGTATGTTGCTATATTTTTTATTTTAATACTAGCTTTATCCGCATGAAAGTAGCCTGTGTGTTATTCTGATGTATAAGCTACATTACTGCAAAGTTTCATCAAAATCCGTTAAGTAGTTTTTACGTGAAAGAGTAACAAACATCCCTCCATCGATCTATCCATCCTTACTAAAAAATTTCGTGTTTATAATATTTGTAAGATTATATGTATAATCTTTTAACGCGTCAACTTGTCTGCTTTTTTATAATGATGTTATCTATCTATCTATATATGTTATATCCAACTTTGACGGTACACAACACACCACTTCACCCTTTTCCAGATTATTTTTTTCTTGTGACTAACCTTCAAGTTAAACATTATGTTCGGCTAGTAGTGAAAATGTATCAAAAAACAAACGGACACAAAGAATACTTTCGCATTTATATATTAGTATGGCTTTCAGTTTTTTAATCAATATAAATTTGCAATTCAGTAAAGTGTTTATTAGTAACAAGACATGGGTCAATCAACTTACAGTCCATAGTTAACTCGCCTATAAATTTAATTTATAACCAATAGAAAACACTAAGAATAGGGGACCCGTATATTAGTTACTATTTACAAATTAATTGGTTACTTAGCAATAAATACAAAACAATAACGAAAACGTAATGTATTACATTATCAAATATACCTACGGGATCACATTTATATATACTAGCTTTTGCCCGCGCCTTCGCTCTCGTTAAATCATCCCCTTAGAGGTGGAATTTATCAAAATCAATTCTTAGGGGATGCCAACTTATAGTAGCTTTATGCATGCAAAGTCTTAGCCCGATCGGTTTAAAATTGACGAAGTTTCATACAAACTTTCAACCCCTATCTTATCCCCTTGGGGGTAGAATTAATCAAAATCCTTTCTTAGCGGATGCCTACGTCATAACATCTACCTGCATGCCAAATTTCATCCCGATCTGTCCAGTAGTTTGGGCTATGCGTTGATAGATCACTACGTCAGTCACCTTTGAGTAACATATATTTAGATATTTTAATTACTATATAAATAAAACATAATAAATATGGCCTAACGGATAACAATCCGACATAGAATGAATATCAAATTCGAATCTGGCCGTCACCAAAAAAAACTTTTCAATATTATATTTCTGAGAAACTCTTCGGTTTCGGTGTTTCTATTGCCATACAATAACATACTAAATTAATCGTAGCCACCACCACAACGTAGTGTAGCGTAACCACGTGCCACATAATTTTATTTTTAATCAATTTTATGCGCATTTATTTTAGTTTATTTTTTTTCTTTTGACAATTCACACAGCGCCATCTAGACCCAAGTTAAGCTAGCTAAAGCTTGTGTTATGGGTACTAGACAACTGATATAAATACATAGATATTTTTTTCGTAAATACATACAGAAAATACCCAGACCGATACAAACAATCATACTCATGAATATAAATGTTTGTGTACAAATGTAAATGTTCATGAATGTATCGTACGAGGAATCGAACCCGCGACCATCGGACGCAAAGCGGTGTGCTAGACCGCTAGACCACCGAGGTCGTCAAATCATTTTTTATTTCGTGCATTTAAATTACAATTAATTTCCTATTTTATTTATAAATATTTTAACAAATTTTAATAGCCTATTCTGGCGGTAATTGGTTACCGCCGCCTATATACATACAGTACATACACACATGTACAGCACTTTGAACATCACGTTATTCTGTGATGCCTGTAATACAGCTCATTCTTTACCATTCCAGAGAACTAAGGTTTTATGCCAGTCCGGTAATTTTATTCCACTTTCTCCCTACAACTGAAGTACAGCAAAACAAGCTGCTTGGCGGCCGAAATCTATGAGACTGAGGAGTCGAGATAACTTTTTAGAAAGTCTACCTTGGTAACGATTAAGGAACAATAAAACAAAACAAGTATGTAATTCTTCTGTATTTCTAACATATTAGAACTTTATACACTACGTCATTTTATTTACATGAGCATTTTCGCTTCACAATAATATTACAATTAAAATAAATTTCTCTCTTTATTATATTATTTATACATATTTTCATTCGACCTATTCTTTAGGCAAAGTGACAAAATTCTCACACTTCAAAAGCACATTAGAAAAAAATACTGTTTTTTTTATTTATTTAGAATTTTTTACCATTGCATCATATCGAATCATGGAGCAGGTTTAAAAAATATACATACATGTAATGAAAGAAACATCGCAGTTACCGGAAGGTTTTGGTACAAAGGCGGAATTATGAAAATATACAGTTGTAAAAAGGACAAATTAATTCACAGCCAATAAATCATATCGAATGTATAACTTCCGTTCAAATAAATATAGAAAACATTTGGGTATTGCACCTTGATGACTTTGCTATTAAAATTCATATATAAAAATTAAAGCACAGTAAATTATATTTTGTGTATACATAATTATATACAGTTTCATTTTATGTAATCTGCATAATTCAAAGTAAATAATGAAGTCATTTGAGCGAAATATTAATTAGGTTTTGTGGTTTTTTTATAATTACATCACATACGACAGCAAAACATACAACTTATTGGACTATTGTACAAGGAACTCATAAATAACGAGAAGTAATTAACAATTTCAACAACACCTACTGTTGGCACAGTATTAATTTATAATAAATTTACAAATTGACCTAATTCGACCACGACATATAAGGACAGTATTTGCCGAAGTACATACAGACGGTAAAGTCATTACTGAAGATATTATAATGAAGTTGAGCGACAGAGGCGTACAAAACGGCCTGACTAGCACAGCTTAAACCTTCTAATCTACAACGAACGCGCGTAGAGACCGCTTCATAAATATATTGAAATTATCAATAATATGCTGGTATAAGATTTCAGTTTTATCTGAACATTTGAATTAGTCATTGTGAACAATCAAAATTTCATAATACACGGATAATTTAGGTTAGGTTAGTAATCCTAACAAAGTTACAAGTGACAGAGTTGTCCACGCGTTCATCCATAATGATATTTAAGAGCAAAAATATATATTTTTTTTAATTCGACTAATATAAAACAATATGTAGGTAAAAAATTGATACAAAAAATAATATTGGTTCTTCGTCAAGGTTACGTGATAAAATTTAGTATTTAATAAATAAAATGCCAAAATGATTAATATATTCCTAGAAGATTTAAATCAGGACACCCATAATTAATCGATTCTCCTTATAAAAATGGGAAGAATCAGTTTTTATAGAAAGAAATTGCCATCCCGAGCGATCGAGCTTTGAACAAATATTTTATGTTGGAATATTGAATGGGAATATAGTAATTAAGGTGATGCAATACCGAATTTATGGCCAAATATTGGCCATAAATTCGGGTATTCTCTTATTTAATAACCATATTCAGTGACGTATTAATAGAGTTGCAGAGTTGGCAAAATACCACTGTCTCCGGCCGTGAGAAATAGAAAAAGTAACATTTATGACATAAATTACTAAAAAAATAAATTGGATCAATTTAAGACACTACAACGTGAGTTTTTTAGCTAAAATGAGGGCCTCATCCTATTTACCACTGTTACGCCACTGTTCAAACCACATATGTAATTTATAACATTGCCTAAGTTAACAATTTTAACATTCATGTTAGTAAAACTTAACAAGTTCAGAAATAGACAGATACTGACGAGTAACTTGAGCATGGTTTTTATTTTTAATATCACGTAATTTTCGCATTGACAATTTCACTTACAAAACGGGCTGAATATTCATTCTCTATGGTTTTGCCATGTGTTTAGTCGCCTACTATTTTCTAGATTGACAAAATACATTTATACTTGAAAAGAGTTTGTAAGACGTATTGTTTATTGTATATTAAATTTTGACCAATGGCAACCCCATTCTAACACCGACACTGCCCTGGCATTATCGATTACGATACAACTGTCTCGTTTAGAAGTATTTTATACACATTTTAATATAAAACCCATTAGTTAAAGTTAGGCACATTGTGAGGACGGCCGCGCGGCCCGTGCCAGCGCTGGACACTAGCTAGTATTATTCTAGTCCACAGACAAATACAGGAACAAGCAAACGCTATGTAATGTGCTTTCAAGTTATCAAGACTACTGAAGTAATGCCACACGTTTGCTGACTATTCCTGGTCTCCTAGTAATGCCAGCTCATATCACCAATTAATATTGCATTTACACATATAAGCCACAAATTTTAATTAATACCTAACTCATTAATTTAATCATTATTGACTTCCTTTTTATTAAACAACTGTTAGAAATTGACAACACCTATTAAACGTGTTTGTACAAGAGTTTTTTCCTACAGTATCTATCTTACTGCACACATCACAGATTATATAGAAAAAATAAACTTTATCCCGTTATTCTCTATACATAACAAGTACACTTTTGCACTAATTCTACGTTTTCACAGTTGTGAGTTGAAGGGAGTACGCGTATGTATGCACATTGACTTACAACGACCTAGAGAAAGTGCGCCATAACAACAAGTTTGAGCGATAATAAAAAACAATAAATTTTATTTATAATAAAAAGTAATTAGTTATTAGGTATAATTTAACTTATGACGCAACCTTCTAACTCTAGAATTCAATTGTTAAAAATATAATTACGAAACAATTTTATTTAATTACGTTATCAAATTACTGTATTTTGCACCGAATCATGCAATAATATTTGAAAATTGCTAAGACAAACAAATAAAAGTTTAATTATTGTAATCATTATTATAGATTAATTAATTAAAGCTAATTTACTAACAAGGCGACAATTGCACTAGAATATCGCTCATTCACGTTATAAACTTTAATGTTTGCATTGGAAGCGTTCACGTTATCTAGGCAGTGTTGTAAATCAATGAATATGCATTTTAACTTACTCAGTGCTCAAATTTGGTGAAAATAGTTTTTATTGATATTAGCATAAGTTTTATATGATGTAGCAATAATTAGGTACACTCAGCATAGAGCACTGAGCAAGACAGGGATTATACACAGCGTTTACACAATTTGTCTATCCATTTTAAATATATATAGTACATGGATTTCTCGATTATGACAGACAAATTGAAATAGGTATGCACCATATAGTCACTAAGCTACAATAACATTGAATATTCCTTCTGGTTTTTGATGAAGAAATCTGAACCTTTTTAATTTTTAACTACGTTTTGCTCCCTATTTATTGTTCATTTCTGTTATCAATAAATAAATATTAAAATAAGATTTCCACATTATTGTTTGCAACCACGATCGAGTTGGAATATTTAATACATTTGGCCAGTTTATACACGTCCACAAATGTCCATTACCACGTCTTGTCACTTTGCTATCACCGTCTCGAAACAATAAAAAACACTAGTAAATAGGTATTGCATAAATACATTTATACATACGCGCGATCTTAACATAAGACACGCTAGGACGCGAGCTTTCACACTTCACGTATCAATATTCTGAAAATTCGTGACAATAAAACTATGGGTGACGAGACGCAGCCACGACTGACGTCTCGCTTGTCACGTTTCACGAGGAATGATTTCAGTCACATCCCGGTGAGGTAGCAGGCGCACAGAGACTTGGGTAGGTGTATGTTTTCTGTTAGACAATCCATATCGAATATATATCATTCCACACACTGTATTATTGCTAGAAGATTGGCAGTATTACACATTTACCATCAAACCACGGAGCGACATGTAGGCACTGTCGGAAAAGAACCCGCTCTCGCAGGCCATTCGCCATTTTATTATCCAATGGAATTACGACGATCATTCTCACAAACTTAAACAACACGTTGACTTTCAAATTCTACACATCTGATTAACCATTCCAGTGTTGCCAGACGTCCTAATTTTTCAGGAATTCTCCCACTTTCTCAAGTTTTCTGATATAGTTGTCTGTAAAAAAACTGCGATTTTCACAGCATATAGACGATCTATGTAAAATACAAATTACGTAATAATTGATATTCGGAAAGTATTTTTACGTCTTTTTCATACGTCTTCAGTTCCGTCGTCTTAAAAGTAGTTTAGTTTTCAACGATCTTTTCTTTTTTCTTCCAATTTCTATGAATTTTCCATTTCCTTCTATACAATAAAGCTGGCAACACTGATAATTTATTTAACTACTCAAGTCTCAAGTACCGGGCGTCGATAAGGCGCTAGGAGGTTTACGCGGCATGAAGGCGTGCGTGGCGGTACCCTCACGTGGGCGGCGCGGGCTGCGTGGGCGCGGCTGCGGTGGTGGTGTGAGAACTGGAGACCACCACCACCGGCTTCATGATCGTGGTGGCACTTAAGTACTGCGCGCTCACCGTCAGCGGCGCCACAGTGCCCTTCACCATTTGGGTTTCCACCATCTGAAAGGAACATTAACAACAATAATAATAATAATAATCCATACTAATATTTTAAATATGAAAGTAACTCTGTCTCTATGTTTGTCTCGCTTTCACGCCAAAACTACTGCACCCATTTAAACGGAATTTGTTAGACAGATAGTCTAGAACTCTAGACCTTGAGAAAGGACATAGGCTACTTTTCGATGCAAAAAAGGTTGTAACGGGAGATGAAAGGTTGTACAGAAGGAACGGCATTTTTAAAGCCGCTTTTAAAGCTTAAAACTTATTTTTTGGCTTTAACTTAAATATCAATTAATATGACTTTTAAATGGCAATTATGACAATTATTATGGCTTTCGATTAAATATCAAAGATTGTAAAAGTTATTTTTATGGGGGTAAAATAAAATAGGGGATGAAATTTTTCGTCATGTATTTAATAAAGATTTGCTTTTATAAAGAAAACATATTTAATAATGGGTTTCATTATTAAATATTTTTTCTTTTTTTGGTCAAGGCTACTATAACACGCGGACAAAGTTTATAATATGAACAGTTAACTAAAGACATTTAAAATTATTACTTGGTCAGTGTGACTCTTACCTCTGAATTAAGATACCGAATAACTTCCAGAATTAAAAACAATAGAAATAATAATAATACCCTTGGAAAATACACACAACGCCAACTAGTCTAAAGTCGCTTATCTTGAGAGCTTGTGTATTACAGTACTAGACAACTGACATAAATATTTTTTTTTTTCTGTAAATACATACATAATATACATGGGAAACAACACCCAGACCGACACAGACAGTCAAACTCATGAATACAAATGTTTGTACCGTGCGAGGAATCGAACCGAGACCATCAGAACGGTTTGCTTACCGTCAGCGCACCAATGGCCAACGAACCACCAGTTCTCTCTTCTCACTCGCTATTCTAGATTAGCATATGTTACTTTTTGCTTAAATTCACACCGTAGTATAAAGCTGGTGAATCACGCAAGTAACGCCGTAGTACAAACCTAGTGTAATATATATAAACCGACCTTGTGTGTGAGCGTATGCGTTTGTAACAAGTGTGCAGCGGGCTGCGAGACAACCAGAGGAGTTAACCCGCTCACCACCACGCTGCCGCCTTCTAGAACAATCGCCATATTTAACACATACATACAGAGGTGAGCAAATAGCCGCCTACTAAAATTAAAATTATAGCTTGCTGTTTGAACTCCCTCCGATCCCCCGTCGTATTCAAACGGGGATCGAAGTTACGAGGCCCTGAGCCGAGATTCGAACCCCTAGCGGTGTCCTTAGACTAAACTTGTATCCGTCAGACAGGAGCTTGCCTTCAGCCACTCCATAAGTCCTTTCGCGGGTTTGGAGTGACATCTGCACTCAGCTATCATCCGGTGAAGCTGTAAAGGCCAGCTGCGGTCAACAGCTTTAGAATAGCCCAAAAAAAAAGCTATTTTCTTCTGAAACAATCGCCACACTTTTCATACCATAGATAAGTAAATATCCTTTTTTTTAAAGTAGGTGTTATTTTGCGAAAGTCAATTTCGTTACCGAATGGATGAATGAATGAATGAATATTTATATTGTATCATTCTGTTTAATTCCGCTACCAAAGCATTTACAGCTAAATATAAATATAAAAATAGGTCCAGCGTACAAATATTAATTAGGTAATAAAACATACCTGTAGATACGGGCGTCGGCGACACTATACCATTCTCCTTAGGTATTCTATTGGTATCTCCCGTGGAAATACCTTAAAATAATTAACAAGAATATATATATTACTAGCTGTCCCGGCAAACGTTGTTTTCCCTTAAAATAAAATAAAAAATAGATGTTGGCCGATTCTCAGACGTACTCAATACGCTCACAAAATTTCATGAGAATCGGTCAAGCCGTTTCGGAGGAGTATGGGAACGAAAACTGTGACACGAGAATTTTATATATATGATTATAAGAAGCAAAAACTTTTTATGAAAGTTGTGCGGACTTATGGCGTATATATATAAAATGTGTATATATGTGTATATAATGTACATATATATATAAACATTACACATACTATAATATATTTGACACACACACATATGTAGTTTTTGTTTATTGTTAGTCTGTGGTCTTTAGAATACATTAATATTGTTCGTCTTTAATATTATTTGTGTATAGTACGGTCACTGGGTGCCCACTAGTTTTTATTAACACAATCTTGATACAATCGATGGTCACATGCACTTACTTCCCCTCCGATCGATCCCCCGTGCAATTCAAACGGAGATCCAAATTACGAACGTCTTAGGTGAGGTTCGAACCCCCAGCGGTGGCCTCAGACTAAAGTCGTATCACTTGACCTTCAGTCGCTCCATAATCCCTTCCGCGGGTTTGAAGTGTCATCTGCACTCGCCCCCTATCGTCCTGTGAAGCTGTAAAGGCCAGCTACGCCCAACAGCATTAGAGTAGTTCGAAAAAAGAAACAAAGCTAGTCAGGGTGTAAAACTCACCGTTGGTATGGATCGTTGGCGCCTGTAGTACTCTCAGTCCGCCGCTAGTAGACAGTAACTGCAACGCCGCAGGACCAACAACCAAACCGCCACTCCCCACCACCTAGAAAAAGAAATTAAGATCATAGCCGACGTCTGTATACAGGTTTAGATAATAGATATATAGTATATATATTATTTGTAACATACAGTAAAGAAAAGACAATATACTAAAGATCATGTGTATAGTTACAGTAAGGCGGTCTTATTGCTGAGAGCAATCTTTTCAAGGCAACATTAGGGAAACGAATTTAAATATCGAACAGATAGGTAATATGCTAACAGGAGAAAAGTAGATAATATGGTATTAAAAAAGAATAGAATAAAATAGAAAATTCTTTATTCAAATAAACTAAAATTTAGACAAATGAGCTTAAATTTAAGCACTTATGAATAATCATACTTATTCTTTTAATATACCGCCCTTTCGGAAAGTTGTGTCATCACAAGAAGAACAAGCAAGATTTACATGTTGCTCTTTTAAATAATTATTAACATTTAAGTTGAAATGTGTGAATACAAACTACAAACTAGCACTAATTCATTAGAGTCAAATATTAAATACACAAAGAATCAAGAAAAGAAAACGGCCCTATCGTATGAACCTAAATAATATAAATTTATTCAGCGGTTAGAAAGACACCTGAGCAGTATAAAAATAATTCAAACCTGTGACAAGGGTAGATGAATCTGAGCGGGGTGGACTAAGGCAGTGCTCAGAGTGTTGGCCACCCCGTTTTCCACCGATTGCCCGTTCTGAAATAAGTATTAAACATTTTTTCATAAGTATATAAACAAAAATTAGAAATTCCAATATACATAACTTTCTGCGTTTTGTATATATTCTAGTAATATTATATATTATACTAACTATATATATACTAATAATCCAGGTTACAAACAGTGACAGGAAATGTTGCCCAAATCAATGCATAAATTTTAGAATTTCGTCCATTTCGTTTAAAAGTAAACATTATAATATTATTCATTTCCTTTATTTTATTTATTTATTTTATTGTAATATTTACAAAAAGTAAGTTAAGAAAAACCACCAAAACAATATAATTATCTCTCTATTTAAAATTGCAATATACATACAGTAGTTTAATATTTAGCCATAAATAAAAAAAAAACTAGAAATATATTTTAAAGTATACATCTATTGTACATGTATTGTATTGTATTGTACATAGCATAAGTATTTCAGAGACCAGCAGTGGATATCGTCTCGTATAAGTCTGCGCAATAAATGCTATTTTGTTAAATTTGTTACCACGCAAATGACGTGTTGTCGGTAAATTTTAAGTAGGTGTAATATTACATATAATCAATGTAGTATATACACTAACCTGCGTAGGACCATCGGCAGGAGCGAGTGTGGTCAGGGTCAGAGTGTTGTGTCTAGAACCGTATGAAGTCCGAACAACCTGGATATAGAAAAAATGCTACTATATACACTAGCTCCATCTATATTGTCACAAATAAAGTTTCAACTAACTAATAATGTACAAAGAAATCGGTAGATGACGCTCCATTAAACTACGTGTAACTTTTATTATCTAACACCTCTCCTAATCCAAGATTAGGTCAGCTCTAATTTCTAACACGGTACCAGGAGTTCATACCTGCGAGGTAGTTGGTGTTATTTGTATCGGCAGCGTACGCAATTTAGTGCTTAGGTTTAGAGTGCGGGGGGGTGAAGCCTCCATTCTAGTAACAACGGAACGCGGAGGCGAAGATGTAATCTGGAATTATGATAATTGTAATTTCAATTCCATTTACAGGCCACCACGAAAATTTTGTAAATATAAACGTTAAAAATACCATTTAAATAACATATTATAAGGAAAGAGTAAAAATCATTTAAATAATTTAAATAACTTACACTTATAGGAATTCCTAAAATTTGCCCATTCATACTTTCATCTTTCTCTTCACTTGACGAATCTGAAAAAGAAAATAAAAAAATATTTATCCATATTTTCTACTAAATCGAACTATACATATATTACAATTTTTTTATCAGATAATCAAAATTACCATTTTTATTACTTTTAAACTATTAAATAGAACAAAAGAAAATAAATATTTATTTGCAAAATATTTTAGAATGCCGAATATTAAATAGTCTCGATCCATTGTACTAGGAGCGCATAAGCGCAAGAAGGTGAACCCACCAATGCTACGTGGGCGCACAGTGGCACGCACCGACACTTCTCTCTTCAACGCGGCGAGTCGTTGTTGTGCCGCAATCTTCTCACGAGCCAGACGTTCCATTTCATGTTCGCACTCGCGTTCTTTACGACGAAGCACCTGTAGATAATGAAACAGAATAATTAAACTATCATAAATAATAGGAGGATTTAATGATAATAAAATTTTTGTTTATTTCTAAATGTTGTTTGAATAATGATTATTTTACAATTTGATTTGCATTATCTCGTATTACCTAGTCTCGGCATATAATTAGCTACTTGTATCTCTTTTTAGCTTTAAGACCCATTTTCATTATTAACAAAACATGTAAGTAAGTTTTATTGTATTCCATCTTATAGCTCAAAGTAAAATTTAGAAAAAAGCTAAATCAACATGAAGAATTATAATTTTTATGAAACTGTAACTATGAAAACTCCTAAGAACAATGATTTTTCTTAGTGAAAAACAATACAAAGTAACAGTTCCGAGTTTTGTAAAGAAAGTTAAACTGAAATGAAAAGGTCAGAGAACTTTTAAAAAGTAATAAATACAGTTAATTGCCAATGACTTACATACACATAGAACCCATAATAATAATGGAAATACGAAACAACCTTGCTTTATCGTGACCAGTATTGTATTGCTTAATATTCCGAAAGAAAACCTTAGAAAACGTGACAAGTTTAAAAGGCAACAGACGCTATTTGGACATTGCCAATTTCTTCAAGTAGAGTTTGGAAAATTTCGAAACGTCGAAAACCAACCCTTGGCTGTTGCAAAATTATTACAATTTTAAGTTTGGTTGTACATACTTTTGTTTCGTTAACCGGCGGTTATGAAAACACAAGTTGCAAATATTTAACCCCCTGACGCAAAAAGTGGTTTATAAAAAGCTTGATATGTCTGTGACATCGTAGATCCTAAATGAATGGACTGAGTATGATACGGATTTATTTAACTGTCAGTATTTCTGTCACTCCAAAAAACCTATCCTGTTCAGGCTACGGAAACCTTACATCTGCTTAGCATGGGACTAGATGTGTAAATTGTCCTGAGATATTATTATTATTACTTTTGCGATTAAAATTATAAACCAAAAAATTAAGCCTAAATTTATTATCGTCATATTTTATAGTTGATATATTGTTCCCTCATCTTAAATGAGGAGGCAATCACCGTTGTGAACGATCACTATAAAAACGGCTACTAACCGTACTCCTACTTGGACGTGTTAGAGAGATGGGAGCATCGCTGGTAGGAATTTGCAAAGTTTCAAGGAGATTATATAGAAAAAGAAATTAAAAAATAAGAAACAAATTGAAAACAAAGAAACACCCATCCCCACGGTCTGAAAAGTTTCCGACCTGACAATGATAGAACAATTTTTTTCTTAATTTTTCTACATAGTCTCCTTTACACACTCCTTTCAGCGATGCTCCCATCTCTCTAACCCGTCCAAGTAGTACTCGGTGTGTGAAAGTTATAGTAGGTACAAACATAATATCCGACTAAGAATCACTTTATAAATTTTCTTTTTAAAACAACAAAATTATTCAATATAAAAAAAGTTATACCAACCTGAATATACCTGATGGCCGAACCGAGTATAGACAAGTTAGACGTCTTCTTGTCATCCGAGGTGGCTGGTAGTTGTCGTTTGAGCAGTTCGAAGCATTCCTTCAGGTGTGCGCGCCTGTTCTTCTCCAGTTTGTTGTGCACTTCGCGGGTGCCGGCGCGGGGGGCGCTGTTGCTGCTACCACTGCTGCCGCTGCCGCTGCCGTTACTGCTTACTGACGGTGGGGATGGTATTTGAGGAGGCCTGTGAACAAGTAAAAGGTTTTTATTATATATATTTCATACTAGCCGTCCCGCGCAACTTCGTGTGCATCACACTTACTTGACTTTTATCATTATATTTCGCCCAATTAATAAATAATTTAAATTTATATCATATATTTTGAAATTATAGCCTATGTGTTATTCTTATGTATAAGCCATATTACTGTGACATTTCATCAAAATCCGTTCTTTAGTTTTGCGTGAAAGAGTAACAAACATGTGGACGGCACACTCACAAACTTTAGCGTTTATAATATTAATAAGATTAATATTTTATATGAAATTGGAATAGGAAAACAACCCAATGCTTATTATTATTATTTTTATTTATTTTTAAATTTAGGGACTTTTGTACCATCTAAGTACATGTCAGCAGCATTGTACCCTACAATAATCACTCCATTACCTCACCAGGCAAATGCTTATTCTGTATTTGCAGTTTTAATTTACATTAAAGTTGATTTTATTTCAGTATCCAGTACACTTTTCTAAATATACATATATGTACTTATTTCAAGCTGAAAGATAAAAAGATATCTATGTCCACCTTTATGTAAATACTGGTGTTTTTTAATGGATGATAATGGAATGGTGCATCCTGCGCTAACGGTGTACGCTGGCGGGGCAGTGGATGATGGTTTTTTAGAGAAAACCTGACATGCGTCTGATATTGCTAACAATGGGATCATCAATCCACATTACTAACAATCTCTTTCCCGACTTACAGGCGGCATATCGGATCGGCATACTACTTTATGACGATCATGGTAACGCTATTACAGCGAAAAAGGTAAATGCTTATGTGTAAAAAGGTAAAAGAAACATTATTCGTATGATGTAGTCATTTTTCCTTTTACACATAAGCTAAGTAAATTTGAAATTTTGAATTACTAATTCTGAAACTTGGCAAATATTTTTTTTACTCGTTTAAAAAAGACGATAAATGACAAACAGGCAGAGAGTAACATTGCACCATAAGAATTCCGTTGTACTCACACACCCACTGTTATCAAAATACGAGATTACTTAAAAAAGCGCTTTTAAAACAAAAAAATCACGAAAAGCTTAAAAGCTTTTAAGTGAGAGCTTACACATACCAGGGCATAATAAATGTAAAAGGGTATATCACCCTTCTGTTGCAACATGGACAATGCTACATAAAACAGGCAAATTATTCTCAATAAATTTATATCACTACATAGTATAAAACAATGTCGCTGTCGCTGTCTGTCCGTCCATATGTATGCTTAAATCTTTAAAACTACGCAACGGATTTTAAAGCGGCTTTTTTAATATATAGAGTGATTCAAGAGGTAGGTTTATATGTATAATACATGCATAATATTAGTAGAGAAACATTGATAAATTTAGAGGTTTTGTACTAAATAAACACATTTTTTTGCGCTAAAATTGAAAACGATGGCTGAACGCCACGAGAAAGTACACTACAGTATTGTACACCTTAAAGAGGTCAATAAAAAAATCTGTCTAATGATAGAAAAGCTGTAAACGTTGTTTATAAAGACATTCTGTAGTAGGTAGGTTTATTTAGTATCATCATTGCACCCGTGCAAAGCCGGGGCGGGTTTGTAAATATAATCAGTGCACTGTCGTTGATAGATAAAATTTTTGGCTACCGTATGAAACAATTGTTAAAGATACTGAAACCACTTCGCTTCGATTAGATGACATGAATGCATAATTTAGATTACGAATCACGCAATCAGTATATTAAAGCAAGGACTGATCTATCGAATGAGAACAATTTGTGCAAGTACCCGTAGAACCTAATAGATTATTCAATTTACATCTGTTAAAATCCAAACCTTGGCAGCAATAGGGTAAAATATACCTGAGTAACTAGGAGCGTAACGTACCTATGCAAGGATAAATTACAATTTCTATTGTACGACCTGTTTACATTTAATTATTGTTGTATCTGTGGTACAGAACGTTCCAGATGCGCCACATCTGTGGCAGATCACATAAACCAAGTCGGCGCATTAATTGTTTTATTTTTACTTATGCATGCGGACAGAAGGCCAGTAAATGTGAAATATATCTACATTAATAATGTATATTGATAGGTGACTACATAAAATCTCTTCATTAAAAGACTAAAATGTTAATGTATAAACGACTAACTGATAACCGCGACTTCGTCTGGTTTTATTGAGATAAAATAACCTATGGCCGTTCTCGTGGGACAATTTATCTCCACGTCAAACATTTAGTAGCGTTTATTAAAAAGATAACAAACAGATTGGTATACAGACGCACTTTCGCATACATAATCTAATAGTAAGTATAGTACATATTATGGTTTCAGTATCGAATAGATTATATCAAGCTAGTAATCGCGTGACAAATCCATATCGTGCGACAGAATAACCTCTATATCGCCTATTAAAATGCGAAATTCAGTAGGTTTATTTGTAACACCTACACATCTTAATGGGTTTAACAATACCATGAAATGGTATGGTGGCACTTCGGACGGGAACGGACAATTTATGCGGATGCAGTTGCGGGATGAAACTAGTGTCACGATAATAATAGAACTCTATTACTGATAAAGTATACTTATTATGTAAAATACCGAGAAGTTGTGATAAAGAACACGATTTCGCATCCAATCGGTCAGACCGATATATCGGGTCACAGGCACAAACATGTCGGTCGACCAATCCACATAATCTCCTAACATATACATAGTTCTGTCGGAATTGGGCAGATTAGATCATACTAATCGCTTGACAAATCGTGTGTACAGATCGCTACTATATCGCCTGTCGGCCGAGTAAACCAAATGGTCTCCTTACATATTGTTCTGGCAGAAATTGGACAGATTAGATCAAACGAATCGCTTGACAAATCGTGCTACAGAATCACGTCTATATCTTATCTCATTTAATATCCATATCCATACTAATCCATGTTAATATTTTTTCTAATAAATGTGAAAGTATGACTGTCTGTCTATTTATTAATTTTTTACGACTAAACAACTGAACGGATCAAATGAACAATGTCAAGATAATATCAATAGAACGGTTAAAAGAAGCAGACAATATCGCCGGGACTAACTGATTGTCAATAAAAAATGAATTAGATACAGAGTTTTATGATCTTTACATAGTATAAAATGAAATCGCTTCAGCTGTTCGCTTAGATGTTTTAAACTACGCAACAGATTTTAATGCTGTTTGCAGCCATAGATAGAGTCTACTTCTTCTTTCGTTTCAATGGGAAGTAAATATAAATTCCTCAGAATGTTGCGACGACTTTTGCACATTCTGTCGCAGTTTTTAGATCTTCCTTTGTGCAGGATGTTGAGCACAAAGGACAGGTCAATAGATGGGCCATAGTCTGGGGCCCATAGGATGGGTCTTGGTAAAATGAGATGACGCTTTAAGGGAGGCTTGTGACGCTCCGCAGGCACTCCCGCAGCAGCAGCCTATCTGGGTTCGCAGTCTGTTAAACGATTTCCAAGTGGACCATTGCAGATCGCTACCTTCGGGCAGGTGTTCGGCTGGTTGAATAAAGTCCAAAGGAGCAGGATGGTTCGACTTCCATAAGTCTACTTTGGCTTTATGTGGGTCGTTGGTCAAAGCTCTTGTCAAGGACAATAGATAGAGTGATTCAAGAGGAAAATTTATAAGTATAATACATGTACACCCGTACGAAGCCGGGGTGGATAGCTAGTTAGTAATAATTGGAAATTTAACATAAAATTTCCTTTTATGCAACACTTTTGCGATAAAATTTATTTTGCATTCAATAATCATAGTTTAATTGCAAACGTTTGATAGAGCGAATATATTTATTCGTTCTGTGCTTAGTTCAGCTGCTTAATTAATGACATTGGTCTGTCTATACGCTTCGTCGGTCTGCGACATACAAATACATGTTATTATTACGTGTATATTGTCATCGTACAAACTTTATTAAGCATTTACGACTATAGGTATAATTTCTCGCTATTGTAACTATTTTAGTTAATTGACCGTAAACAGTTTAAATAAATAGCCTTATATTCCTTTGCCTTGTACCGCCGCGCCGCCAACATTATGGATATAATTGAAAAAGGTATGTCGTATTGATGGTACTTTTTTTAATATACTCATTTTAATTTAGGAGAAGCGTTTTCATTTTTAATACAACACAACACTTACAAAAAACATAAATATTGTGAAATTGCCTGTAAGCGTTTAATTTTAAAGTCTATTTTCAAAAGACTGTAGTTTTTCAAAAATCGCAGTATTACTTAGCGTGCTATATCAATTTTTACACAACCGTTCATCATGTGAGCCCTCATATGACGAATCTGATGTCGTGTAAATGATTGACGGTCACCATTTACCAGCAGGCCGGCATCAGTTACCAAACAGGCTTGAAATGGCAAGGTATGCTTGTCATTTCAAACATATAAAAAATAATTTTCCGATAGAGTTATCTCAATTTTCGACCACGTATAAGATTTATAAAGTTACAATCTGAGTGGTCACGTAATCGATTTAGTATGGGTCAGTTCATCAGTTCAGAAATAAATTTCATAGTTCCACTATCAATCTATAGGTCAGTGGGTACTTCTTACCTACACCTAGATTGTACTATCACTTACTTTCAGCTTGATGTACCTATCCATTATGACAAACGCATACATTATTTATGAGTAAATAATATTTGTTTTTAATAACAATAAATGTTCTATAAGGTATATTCTAAATGGAAATTAATTAATATTTATCAAGTCATACCTGTACACGCTATAAGCATAGGTAAATCTGCAAGAAGGTCAATAAAACATGCTGCGAATCTCCAGCTGTTTTAGACACCGCCAGTACTAGGAGTTCAGAACATACCCATGACTATTACTCGTCGTTCGTGGCCTGGAATGTTCTTGTACAAAGTCGAGAGGAGCGGGGGCGGTGGCAGCCAGCGCGACGACCGGATCCGGGGCGGCAGCGGCGAGCGAAGGCGCGGGCGTGCAGGGAGGTGCCACCGGCACCGGCGACGTCGGCCGCACCACGCCGTTGCTGCGCGGTGTTACCGACAATCCCGTCACCACCCGCACCGAAACCGGCGATTTGGGCTCCTCCTCTGTAAACAAAATAGCACGTCTGATATGTCAACATATTAAAAAGAGTCGTAAAAACCATTCATTCATACACAAATCAATAAAAACTGTTCTAAGAACTCTCATGAGATTGTTCGTAAAGACGGCACCGGTAGGTAGTAGTTACAACTACTAACTTGTCGAACCCGTGTCAACCGCTCGTCGGCGGCTGCAATACGTGGCGGTAAACTACCAGGAAAACATAACTCAGCTGGCGTTGTAAACAGCCACGTAACTGAGACCAGTGTACCCGTGCGAGCGAGACAAGCATATAAACAGAGAACTGTCTGGCATTAGGTTTATGCAATAATGAGCGTTATTGTAAGGCAGTTAAGTTGTTAATGTAAAATATATTATTAAATCAGTCACGCTGCAATGATGAGTGAGAAAGGCGATTAATATACAAGTAATGATAGAGATGAAAGAGAGGGCGTGGTTTGACTGTTGATGACGTCAGCACATGTGGTTGCGCGCGTGCCCATGGTTTGATATGGGTTTCGTTACCACGCCGAAAATCAGCTGCTTTGGAAATTATCACAAAAAAAAGACAGAGTAACTGGTTATAGTTATTATTATCGATTCGCTTGCCAGTGCCCGATCGTTCGATTTGCTAAGCTGCATTTTATTATTCAACTACGTATTATTTTCTTATCAGCTTTTTTATGATGTAATCTTTGTAAATCAACTCCACCTATTTTTACATGTGTAACGCGCTCTATCAGCCTATGACTCTACAACGTAATAAGAATAATACTATCGAAGTTTTATTTTTGGGAAAAAGAAAGGCATACAGTCGGTTGTCGGCGCACCTGGTCATACGTGACAACCGTTGCCTAAATACTCGAACAGCACTACGGATATCACGTCATACTAGGACTCTCATTCGTTATTCCAGATAAATTCGTACCTTATATTTTCACTGCTATACCTTTCAACCCAATCACAGCAGTACCCAAACACGTCATTACTGAATAGTCAGTAGTATAGGTACCTAAATCTTCTGACCCTAATTAATTTCAGTGTACTACTAAAATTTTGAATACATAAGTATTTTTTTTAGGTATCTAACAAAAAAAATGTTGACATCGGCGACCTATAAACTGTAATATGAAGATTGGCATTTTTATTTACATTTCTTTGCAAATTTGATACACTCGTAATATTTGAAGTGTAAATATAACAATGCTTGATAGATTAGGGGCCGTACATAAATTACCTCTATCAAATATCATTATTTTTATCGAACTTTTATAACAATTTGATGTTTTGTTTCTAGAACCATCTCGTCTAGTCTTATCATATTTCACTTATACCTGCCAGCGTATACGTAACTGTAGGCAGGGGCACCATACTACCATCTTACTAATATTATAGACCCGAAAGTTTGAGAGTATGGATGGATACATGAATAAACAGATATTTGTTACTCTTCCAAGCAAAAAGTACTGAATGGATTTTAATTAAACTTTTCAATAATATAAATCATTAGAATAACACATAGGCTTTAACACTAAAAAAAACCGTGGGCACGAAAACCCGTCCATCGCTCTGTCAAAGAACCGGTTACTTAATCATGACCATTGCAGACAAAGTCGCGTGTACAAAACAGTTTTTCTACATTGACTGCGTCAAACATTTCAGGCATTTATTGGGATTGCATAAGTAAGTAGGTACCTACATGCAAATGTATTTATTGAATTACATTTAGCGCTTGATGATAATTAATTAATATGTTTTCAATACGTTTATTGTAATATCAACCTTTTTACATTGAATATAAGATTCAGTTTGATCAGGTGCTTGTTATGTGACATAGTTGCCAATAATCCTTAATTAAAACTGATTCAAAACGATAGGTTTGTTTCATCAGTTTGAACCAGTCATTGAACTGTTAAATACATACCTAATTGGAAAGTAGTAATTTTTATCTTAATTCAATTGAAATCATTACTGTATGACCTAATACAGGCTATTTTTATAACTATAAGAATGGGATTAGATGGAATATGTCTGTACACGACTATATAAAGTCTATATATTTTTTGGACTAAAATTTATGTTTATGATGCAGCATTAAAGAATACATACAATCTTAAATTCTACCACCAAACACAATGTTTTAATAAGGATATTAATTTATACAACAAAACAACGTTTCTATAGTTGTTTCAAACTACAGAATCTGGTAATATATGTATATATATACCTATACTTACCTATCTATCTCCGGAGGTTTAGTCAGAATTATAAATTGACGCACTGTTTTTTCTCATTCGAACTCACGGCCTTCGTGGTCTGGGTAGTAAACCACTAGACCACGACGCTGTCGCCCTTCAACTGTGCAAATCGCACGACATATAACGGACAAAGTTTTAGACTCTGGACCCCTGTGGGGCCGATAAAAATAGACGTTACCCTACGTACCAGTTTTTTTTATTATTACTCAAGTTTATAATAATAGACTCAACATCTCTAATGTCAATTGCAGAGAAATAAAATCAAGAGGGAACACGAGATTACGTAAAACGGAAGTAGAAGCGATTGTTCTATGAATATTAATAATTATTTGCAATTTTTTATACAACCAACCAAAGTCATAAATCATTTATTCATGTAGGACATTTTAGCCGCTTATGAACGTCAAATTTTTATATTATAAAATTTCCCTGCCGTCCAGTTTAGTATACAGATTCAATTGAGAAGAACTGGCAATAAACTCAATAGAATTTCTTATTTTTTTTTTAATAACCCAGTTTATTTACAAACTTATATATGTGTCTATGTCTAATATTAAATGAAAATCTCGTGCACGACAACTACTGCCATGCACGCTCGTCATTCAAGTAATCGTTTAGTGATTAATAGCTTTGGTCAGTAAATATAATGTGATGTTTTGAATTTAAGATCAAAATACCTTAAATAAATAATAGATAACTTCAAAAATAAGAGGTCTTAGATTCCACAATTTTTTTATGCGTGTTATCACAGAACTTATGGAAGAATCGATTTTGTTGATAATGATTCGATGATAACCGCTACGACAATATCATACGCTGGTGGTCACTATATTCTCCCTAATTGAATTTCAAAATGAATCTGTATTTTTGTAATCATGTACATGTGTCGTTTGAAAATAATAAGAGCCCAGTTTCTTGTCTGTTCTTCTTAGCTCGAAAGCACTGCGAACTGAAGGTAGATTTTATATATCATAAGAGTCTATAATAGATCTACATGAATACATATTTTGATTTGATTTACTCATTTTTTATATAAAAAAGCCGGTGCTTCTTAAGTGATTTGGTCAATATCTAACTCGTAGTTATAGATTAGAATTAATTATTTTCGTGGTTTGAAAACGGTTAGTACGTTTTTAAGTAATGCTCATAAAGGCATAACAAAATATTTAATTGTGTCAATTTATTATTTATCAAAGCCGAAATGTTCTTAATGAGTGACTGATAAAGTTATCATTTTCAAAGTTTCTACTTCGTTATATTGAACCTTGGGAATCTACGTAATGATAAAATCCTAATGAGTATGTGAATAATCATTATTTTTCTAATTTATTTAAAAATACACCCTTACTAATTTAATGGCATCAGTGGTGGACAGGTAAACACGCTGAATTACTGCCGCTGGTCGTGGGTTTAATTCTCGAATGCTGCAAACATTTCACATTTATGAATTTCATCTCTTTTAGGTATACTACGATTGTGATTTGAACCTCCTACACCTATTTTAACTATTAATTCAAATTTTTTTAAAGAATTAAAATAGCTCGAAAGAAAATAATAGAAGGACGTCCCATAGGTTACAACGATAGATCGGTTTTAAAAACTCAATGACAGGGTCCTCATTGAATCAGAAAATAGTAAAGGTCAAAATTGAGCTTGTCATACCTTTCACATTTCAAAATGAAGGTGTTATCGTTTTTTTTAAGAGTGCATCGAGAGTTTGCTGTGCATTATGAACTGTGAATCTAGAAGGCTTTCGATCAAGCAATAACTTTTTCGTCCGATGAATCTGTAATGTCCAGCTATGACCAACAGCAATGTAATAGTTCAGTGACTCTCAACAGGAGAAAAATAGTTAAAAATAAAAAAGTAACTATAGTTATTAGTCCCTACTAAATAGATGGGGGGAAATGGGATTGTTAGTATTGTGGACTGATGATCTTATTGCTAGCAATGTACCATGTTATTTTATTTTGACCTCCAGTTTCACCCTGGAAACTATCGTGATAAATTCTTGGTGAATTTGTCACGATGAGCTAACTGGCCTGTCCTCATGCTCATCTTATCATCCTCCACTGGTGTCCTGCCAGCGTAAACCGTTAGCGCAGGCCGGTCCACCATTCCATTATCGTCCATAGAAAAAACTAAAAAGATTGAGAACCACTGACTGACACACAAGTAATACTTAGATATTTCATCTATAACCAACCGCTAAACAAATTGTATAGGGTTATTGTCTCTATGACTTTGAAACTGTAATATTGTAGGTACCTGTTTGTTCAAACCATATATTTGAATGAAATAATCGTGCTGTATAAATATCATACCAATCCCTGAGTTATTCGAATTGTTTAACCGACTGCGAAGGTGAATATCTCGGGTTGTTGGCCTCATGACATTTTTACCAGTGGTATTAGGTTCAATCAAAAGTAAAACTTTAAGCAATCCATCAAACATACGAATGTCAACGTAGACATATCTGAACATGAAGAAAAATAGGTAATTATTCGTAATGAGTATACAATATATTATATCTCAGGACAATTCACACAGCGCTATCTAGTTACAAACTAAGCTGACGTTGTATTATCGGTGCTAGACAACTGATAGATATATTTAGATAATTTTTTTTAAATACCCAGACCGATACAAACAATTATACTCACGTATACAAATGTTTGCATTGTGCGAGCAAGTGAACTTGGTACCATTGGAAGAAAAGCATCATGCTCAACCGCTAGATCACTAAG